GATCATCAAGAAAAAGTTTTGAAGAAACCAGACAAGGTTCTCCCTTGTCCTCGCTGCAACAGCTTGGAGACTAAGTTTTGCTATTTCAACAATTACAATGTTAATCAACCTAGGCATTTCTGCAAAAATTGCCAAAGATATTGGACAGCTGGGGGGATAATTAGAAATGTTCCTGTGGGTGCTGGAAAGCGCAAAAATAAACATTCGCCATTACCTGTTGGCCCAGATTCAGCATCTGTTGCCCACACGGACTCCAACTCGCCCCCTACAGTTTCAAGACCTACTGGAGGAATGGGAAATAGCCCAGGAATTGGGGAGGATGCTCCTCTTTGTGAATCCTTGGAGGCTGTGTTAAATCTAAAAGGCCAGAAGAAAACTGAAGTTGACTCTTCTATTGGTGATGATGGTGAGGAGGCTTCCAAGGATTTTGAATCTAGGGAAAAGGAATGCTCGGCAAATGAAATTGAGCAGGTAGGTTTGCAACAAGAAGTAAATGGTTTTAATCCTCTACATCCACTTCATTACTATCCTGTACCTCCCTGGGCTTACCAATGGAGTCCATGTTGGAATTCAATGGTATTTAGACCTGGTCCTGCTTACATGGGCTCTGCATCCATGATGGCAGTCCCAGGTTTCACTGCACCAACAATGGAATTCTCACCAGGACCTTTCTATTCAAGTCCCCTACCAAGCTGGACTGGCCAGAAGGAAGAGTCTCCATTTGCTGGGTCTACATTTAGTGGCATCCCATCACCTTCCTCTTCCACTAGCAGCAGTGTTTGTTCGGGGACTAAGTCTCCAACCTTAGGAAAACATTCCAGAGATGTAAGTACTCAGACAGGTGATGCAATGAGACGGAATCTTTGGGTACCTAAGACTCTGAGAATTAATGATCCAGAAGAAGCTGCAAGGAGTTCTATATGGTCTGCTTTTGGTACAAAGAGAGAACAGAACAAACCTATTATCAAAGGCAGCGTTTTTAAGTCTTTTGAACCTAAGTCGGAAGGTGCAAGTTCTCAGATTTCAAATACTGATCAAATTTTGACCGCAAACCCTGCTGCGTTTTCTCGCTCAGAATCATTTCAGGAAAGAATGTAAAATCTTGCATTTCATTCTGCTTTTATTGCTGAGGTGAGCTAGACCATGTCATGCTGGCAGTTGTTGTTTGGATGAAGCACGGAGGATTTCTGCTTCTTCCAATTTGTCATGGCTAGTTACAGGTCACTATATCTCAAAAGATAACCTATGACACTATGACACAAACTTTTGAGGGATTTCTGAGCTAATTCTTCTCGGTTTGGTAAGAATACAAGATTATGGGACTTTGATAGCTTTCATGTTTAAATCTCACGGGCCACCTCATAAAAAGAGTCATCAGAATCGGAATGTCCTTTTTGCGTGGGATTACGGCAATTTATTTTAGAGGTATGACCTTTGAACTCCATAGCAGTTGCAATCAAGATGATTTCTTTTCCATTTAATTTTCAGCTACTTCCTTCTGTCATCTACTAGTCAGTTTTAGGAGTTTGCATGTCCTATTCACTTCTCTGTGCACAATTTTTGAGATTTTCTAGATTTTTTTTTAATCAGTTCCTTCTCTCTCTCTCTCTCTGTGTTATTGTATCTTAAAAATTGATAATAAGAAAAAGAAAGATGCTCAGAAAAGCTTCTTTCTGCAAACCATTTTAGCAGAGTTTTCTTGCTCTTTCTTATATTCTGAGGAAACCAAAACTATGCTATTTATTACAGTGTCTACCACAATCTAGTGGAGTCTTTCACGCTTAATGACATTACGTGGTTTAGAACACTATATAAATTGTAAATTGCTATGAGGATATTTTCTCTTTTCTTATTTGAATTTTATTTTTATAGAGCATCTCTCTTTATTTCGTGACACCCCTTGTTTTAATCTGAATATTAGTTGTCCTTCTTATCGTACAATATTTGATAAACTTCTGTTTATCTTCATCATATGTTTCCTTTGATTTAATGCGGCTTGTCAATGTTGATCATAGCATTTCTATAAGGTGACTGGACTGAGCACTATTTGCTTGTCGAGAGAACTTTCCTTTTTTGTTTTTGTTTGTTTTTGGTCTATTTTATTTTTGGCTTTGTGGGAAGGGTAGAATTTTTTCACGCACCTTTAGACATAAAAGCTTGCCAACATGACTGCTAAGTGACTGCTTATATTCACACTTTATCGGCGACATGACTGCTAAATGAGCATTTGTAACATTCTTGTAAAATTGAAAAAAGTGATGGGAGTCCATGAATCATGATTGTCTGCAATTATGATTCATTTGGGTGATTCATGGTGTTTGGTTGTCTTTAGTGATGGCAAAGGGATTACATCATATGCTTCTGATTGCTGCACTATGAAGGGGGATTACATCATGTCAAAAGACATTCATGTCCTTGGTTCACCTCCCTCAACCATATCGAGCCCCCGCCCTCCATCACCAGAAAGAGGGAGGCTTTTTTTCCCCCCTCTGAAAGGATATTTTTGTCCTTTTGATTTTATCTTTTGTAAAGTACGTACAAAAATATATTTTATTACCCCATTCTTAATATTGTGCCAAACAAACTTACTTGCAATCACCATTACATTCCATCACATTCCCAACCATTCTCTTTCCAAGCATTCAAGGAACAAAACAGGCCATAAAGTTTTGAGGCTTGTCTCTACTATTTATTTAAAGGGAGGTTTGATAATTTGAGACCCTTCCCAGGCTTAGATTATCACAGAACTACCACATATAAGCTTTGCATATCTGGCTGATCAGCATGATGGACTGACCAAACCATGATTTCATATTTTCTTAGCTAATTCTGGAGAGTGGAGAGAAATCTGTAAGTCTGTTTGAGGGAGACATTCATTGGTCATACTTGAAACATAGTGCAAAACCACAACTTATGTGTAAGGAAATTGCGAAAAGGACAAAATTCAGGTGAAGTTCTGAATGTGACGTGATATTTTTCATAAAAATGGAACACATGGACAACTCTTCTCTAAGTAACCATGGATTGCTTAAAGGAAATTCTTCTCATGTCATCATATTTTATTGAGGGGTTTCATTGCATTTATTTTTCCATTGAAAGAAATCTTGAAACCCTATCAGGTCGGTTATGCAAGGAAGTTCATTCTAAACATTATTGACTGAGATGAGTCTTTCATTGGGAGGCTGTGATCTTCTGTTTCTCTGGAAATAAACAGAAGTTCTTCATACTTTTGATTCATATATTATAAAAGTTATATGGGGGAAACAAATTTGCAACGGCAGTGTGTAGAAGCTTGGCAATTGTTCGGGAGTTGGAGTTGGAGTTGGAGGTGTTATTTCTGATTAAATCAGATTGGTTGGCTACTCAAAATGTGACTGCCAAATAGCATTGTAAGGAATTCATTGGGGGATATTTTTAAGTGGTTTCATAGCATTTTTTAAAATATTTATAGGTCTTTTTAATGATTTCCGAGAATTCAATTCATTTAAACACTTTTTTAACATTAAAAAAAAAAGGCTAAGATACAAATTGTTTCAGAAATTTTTACTCATGATCGTTGGGCATTTGAAAGGTATTTTGGGTGTGAATATGTCTTGCAAATTTAAAGTCATAGTAATTTTGCCTTGTCTTGTTAACATTGACCATTAAATTAGTGACATGGATTATTAATTTTACTAGTAAAAGGTAGCATTATTGTGATTTTAAACTTTTACAAGAAATTTGCACAATTTTTTTTTCCCGAGTGCCCAACGCTTGAAGCAAATCTGTACCTTAACTCTTTTAAAAACAATTGCATTCCATCAGCGATGGGTGTTTGTTCTTTGCTTAATGCGTAAAAGAAATGTTTTTATGGTATTATTTTCTTATATATTTTTCCCATGTAATGTATTGTTTTTATAATCATCGTTGGCATTTTTTACGATTTCAAGTTTTTGAATCTCTTTCAAAATTTCAAAATTATGTTTCTAATATTATGTAAAAATGACGGATGATTGTTAAGTATATATATAAAATGATTATTTTTAAGGAATATATTTTGAATAATCATAATTATAGTTTTCGTCAATGAATAAAATGATTTATCATTTTTTTCAAAAAAAAAAGTGTGGTTTAGGCCGCATCTAGAGCACCTCTACATGGATTTTGCAGACTGCACATAAGGCCGGGCCGGCCTATGTGCATCAATATCACCCATTCTATAACAAAATTCTTGTTATTTGAATTGTTCAAAAATATATTAAACACACAAGACTTAATACTTTTAAGTCTGAAATGGAGAATGTAGAAGCATTTCAACGTTAATCCTTAGAATGAGATAAAATATAAGATTAGAAACATATAAAATATCTGTGCATCTATGCATCATAAAAAATTAATAGGAAACATTAATAGTCCATATTATAATTTTTCACATAATAAATAATTTTTTTATAGACGACAAACGAGGACAAGAAGATAGAATATTATATATATATATATTTATAGCTATTATAAAAGACTCAGAAAAAGGTGATTTGATAATCCCGACACTAATAATCAAGATACCTCCATATAATATGGAGTATAAAAACCACATTATTGATTTATCTGAAAAAAAGTTGAGTTCACAATACCCAAAATAAATATTAAGAGAAATTGGGAATAAATCCTTCATTAGATAATTGGCAAATAATTTCTCGAACGATAAATTGCACAAAGAAAGATAAATTACATCAAAAAAAAAAAATAATTTGCACAAAACATTACATATAAAACTAAATTCACATAGAAAAGATGACTTGCATATTAAAAAAAAATTTCAGCTACATAAAGAGTTGAGTGGCACGTTACATATGTATGGATGGATTGCATACAAAGAAAGATAGGTTACACAAGTGAAAATGAGTTGTATACAATAAAAATTGAGTTGCACAATGTCCTTAAGGATCATGTTTTAGTTAATTTCTTAATGAGTGATGTATTCCCAATTTTTCCAAAAATACTATGTTAACCTTTGTGCATGGGAAAGACTTAAATCAGTAGAACCATCATAAACAGTAAAAAAAAAAAAAGCATGGCAGTAATAGGCAACTAGTTCCATTAAAGAAAGAAGAAATTATACACTATCATTATTGGACAAAGCCAAAAGAAATACATGTCATGTGCTTCCATATTTGCCTAATAGATAACCTGTGTACGTTCATAAATTATATCAGAAATACATATCTGATGCCAGCAAAAACCAATCTACATAATAGAGTTCCTCAGTACAATTTAAGCTCAAAGTTATCCTATGCGAAAGCTCCTCTCAATCTATGAGTCAACTCTCAAAAGGGAGAATATGGGGAAAGCAAAAGAAACTTATCAGAACATCATACTGAAGATCTCACATTTTTTCTTCCCCTATGCTCATTTCCCCCCCATTATTGTTGTCAGTTTTTTTCAACTTCTTTGGGTTGAGAACTAACGTCCATCTAAAGTATGTTGCAATATCCAACCTGAACCATAACTGCAAAGCATTTTACAGGGTTCCCAATTCAATAAAGGAAAACGATGGGACAACCTCACTTTAGAAGCCGTCTATGAAACATCAATGAAATCATATATAGTAGGCGTTTGACATGATGTTACAAATTGTACCTGGCCACATGAGCTATCTCCCATCATTCAAGGTTTCAAGGGGCCTTTTGCCTTCTCAAACTAGCTTTCGAGCTTCTAAAAGCCATGCCAAACACACCAATCTCAACCATCTCGATATATGTACTTTTCTTACAAAGCCATCAAGGATCAGCGACCTTTAGATTTTCTGCGTCTCCCTAGCAGTTTTAGCATGTTGTCAGTGACATCAGGGCGAGAGCTGTTGTCTTCATCTTCATCTTGATTATTTTCAGAGGTGTGAGTCAACCAAGCCAATGCCTCTATAGCAGCATCTCTCTCTGCTAGCTGCTTGTTTCTCTTGGGTTTGCCAACAAACTGCATTCCTTTGAACTCCACCAGTGCCCTAAACTCATTTGTTTTAAGGTGTTTTGTTTTGTACTTGGGAGGAGAATGCCCTGCACGCATCAACAGTGTTTGTAGCAAGCTTTTGGGGTTTGTCCCATCTTTTGTGAATTTACTCTCATCATTAGCTACCTTCGGCTTCCTTGTTTCTCGGCCAAATACAAATCTTCCTTCACATTGATCCCCCGCCACAAGTTCCTGGACAGCAAGCATCAAGTACTTCCCTTCCTTGTGGATGTCGGTCTTGGGATCTTCCAGCTGCACGTTAAATGAATCAGCAAATTGATCAGCTCATGGGCAATGTTTATGAATGAAGATTTCCAACTCGAAATAACTTCTGGATGCACTAGTACAGGCTTTATTTGTCAGTGAATCAGTTGCTTAAAGTTAGTTTTATCATTAATTGTATCTAAACAGGAGATGTTATCAGCAGATCTACTTTCTCCAGTTGTTTATTTGATAACAGTATTTTAGAATGGTAAATTTAACTATTTATGCCCATCGTCGGCATTTCTTTGAATTGAGAGAGTGTACCGCTAGTTTGGGTTTCAGACGAGGGAGACGTAGTTCGGAAAATGAGAAGAGTAATACAACTTTAACAACGTGGAGGACAGTATTTTAGTCAAATGGATGGAAGTGCAGCAAATTGTTCAAGGGAAGGAGAGTATGCATATTTATTGACATTAAAGGAAACAACTACAACAACCAAGCTTTTGTCCCATTAGATGGGATCAGCAACATAGGTCATACAATACTATTTTACTCTGTCAATAACTAAATCTTTAGATATATTGTTAATAAAAAAAAATCCCGTTCAATAACTAGAAGAGAAGCTTATGTAGTTTCTGATTTAAAAAAAATATTTAATAGTATTTATAGATATTTAATTAACAATAAAAATAAATAGAATAAATACAAAGGGAAAACCATATTGAAGGTGTCTATATTTTCTCTCAATTTTTAATTTGATACCTATGTGTTTTTTTCTCTTTTAATTAAACATTTAATTTTACTTTTTTAGCAACATTAGCTTTTATGTCTTTGCTCTATCGATATTTTTAGTTTCTATGTAAGGATTAATAATGTTAATAGAGTAAAATTAAAGATTTAGTTAAGAGCAAAAAACATAGAGGTACCAAATTAAAAATTGAAAAAAAAGTATAAGTACTTCTAATATGGTTTTCCCTAAATAGAAATATTATTTTCTTAATTTTAATTAATTAATGATATTTATCATATCTTATTTATATTTTTATATTTATATTAAGTTTTACATTTCTATTTAGCTTTCATAATTTGTTCAAGAAAAATTATAGGCTTTCATTTAAAGGATAGGCTTACATTAAGTTTCAGATCAAAATAACACTGCCTTGTGCTTTGTCAAACACGTCTCAACGGGCTTTTGCCGCGGGTGCTTGTCAAAAGATAATAAAACCATTTATAGAACTTCACATGAACTTTTACGTTTGAGATGTTCCATTTAAAAATAAACTGACAATTTTGATAAGGAAAGCTTGCAACTTCCCTGCATCTTACTTAGAAGGTGTTTGAATCAGGCCAAACCATGGTTTGGAGAATAACTCCTGGAGAGAATAAATTTGTAAAAAATAGATTTTGTAAAAAAATAATTTTGATAAAGTAAGAGTTGTTGGATAATTGTTGTCAGAAGTGATTTTTTCTATACAGGATTACTAAAAAGGACATAAGTTTAAATGATAATTATATAAAAGATATATTTTGTAATATATGTTTAATTGAAGTAATAAATTTGTTACTAATATATATTTTGCCAACATAATAAATAAGACATAAATAATGTAAATAATAAATAAATAATATGTATATATATTTATAAAATAATTATATATATTATTAGGAAAATGAATCTGTTATTCTTCAAACCGAAGGATCGAAAGTGAAGAGTGAAAGAATGGCAAATAATTGAGGCCTGCTCTCTGTCATATCCCCTGGGCCCACCACCAACGATCAAATAATTTGTGAAAGAAGCAAGTCAGACATGCTTCATCCAAAACCATGGTTTTGGGGGGCCAAAACCAAATCATGGTTTTGGATTTTTTTAGGGTGTTTGGCTGATTTTTTCCCAAACCATGGTTTGGGATGATAGCCAAACAGCCCTTCAAACATGCAAGAAATTATAACTACTCGACTGAAAACATGAATACTCGACTGAGAAACACGGAACAGATATAGAGCAAGAAATCAAAATTGGATTTCCCCAAAAAAAAAAAAAAGAAATCAAAATCCGCTGACCTTCTTTTGGACAAGCTTATCAAGCTCTTCCTTTAGCTTCATATAGCAGTCAGCTAAACTAGGATCCATGAAGAAGTCAATATAGCCATCCAACATTTTTAGATGTCCAGCCTACACCCCGCAAAACAAAGAAGAAAAAAGAAAGGCATATTACTGTCTTGAAATATATCAAGCCAAAATCTTTTGCTGAAAATTACAGATGTATCCAACTAGTAAATCACCTGTGTCCCGTTAACTAGGGCGCCGCCAAAAAGGATAAGTACTGAATCAGACACACCAGTGGAATCACGTATAAAAACAGCATTGACTTTTACTTTTTCACCAAAAACCAGCCATGGATAAGAAATGGTTTGGCAGCGCTCATTCACTGAATTCTGGCCAAAATCATCAATAGCAGTAAAAATCTAGAAATTAATATGATAGGGGCCCGGGGGGGGGGGTTTCAGCTTATACGCAAGTTAAGTTGATTTGTAGCTTCGCCATCATGATATATGCACACGCAGTTAAAAATGACATCTATTAGAGAGGCTAAAGACATAAAAGGTACAGAAAAATCCTCACAGAATCCACAGATTTCCCAGCTATTGATGAATCTGTGGCGGCATGCATGTATCTCGTTTCATATAATTGCACTTAGGGATACTGGTCAAGCAGTGTTCATGAGAACTGGGGAAAATAGTAGTTTTTGTGTTTAAAACTGAACCGAGATCTGTTTTGACAATAGATTTCAGGAATAAACTGAAGCTTGAGATAACTAATAGCTAGAGCGGCTTCAGCTTTTCAATAGGCTTCTATGGCTTTATTATAAATATTAAAAAAATCAAATAGAAGAGAGAAAGCAAATATGGGTGGTTGTTACTGTTTTTCCAATTGTTTTGATTGCTTGAGTTAAGTATCATGTCTTCCTACTTTTTAGAAATCTAGTCATGCCGAGAATTTCTTCTATACCTCACCAAAATGATTCCACAATAATATTTTTGCTTCTTTGAAATTAATTTCAGCATAGCGCAAATGAAATTTTAGATGATCAACTAGAGTCGAAGAAGGAAATTACCATCAGAAATGAGCCAGATTTAGACAACAGCCATCATATAAATTTAGCATTCATTCAAGATAACTCCAACAAGGCCCTAATTCCTAAAAAAATGAGCATGGGTTTGCACTTACTGCATACAATAAAACCTGGCCGTCGTCCCTTGTTTTAAATGACATAGACGTCTCCCTGTGCTGTACAATAAGGCATAATAAAATTCAATCAAATAAAAATTAACCGAAAAATGTTGTTATGACAATTGTTGGAATACATGTCTGTGGAACAAGAAGCTTACCACTACTGATGCTATGCCAGGAAAGAGGCCAGAACAAATGACTGCACGAACCATAGATTGATTGTGACTCAGTTTGTTGTTAATGCTTGCATCTGAATCTACCAAACCCGCTTCCTTTAAGATGAAGCCAAACTGCTTCCGAAGAGAATGGATAGCCTGAAGAGTCTGGGCAGAGAGGAAATTTCTCCAGCAGTATTCATAAGCAGACCCTTCTCTTTCAGCATCTTTCCATCCCTCGTATGCACGGACAAGAGCCATATGGTCACTGTAATCTTTCGCAGAAAATCTAGACTTTGCCGTCCCTGCCAACTGAACCCCACAGACAAAAGTTATCAATTTAATGGTATTATCCTAATATATGTCAGTTTAATCCAAGAAATACAGAAAGTGAACAAGGAATGAAGGGTTCATTAGTTTGGGGAACTTCAGTGGCCTGACATCATGCGGAACCACTGGGTCCAAATCTGACATAAGCATATGCACACCTCACAACTCAGATAGAAACGAAGTACAGCTTAAAAAAAAAAAACCATGTGGTTCACTGTCATGCAAAATTTTCAACACATTTTTAATGGAAAGAGAAATTTGATCAAAAAGATAATTACATGAAAAGACGATAAGACACCCTCCCAAAAGATAATACTGTTTTCACAGGAAAAGTGACGCTACTGCTGTGATAATTAGCATGATCAAGCCCTGCCATTCTCCACTAAATTTAATTAACCCCATCTAGTCTATCTCTATTTTTAAAAATGCGATATGACACAACTGAAGCGGAAATTTGTATTCATTGCCATAGTAGATAACCAAATTCAAATATTCTGATATTACAATTTTTTTTAGCTCAGGCATCGTAATAAATTGACTTACATCCTTCTTGTCTTGGGGCAGAAGGAAAGGATCCCTGACACTCAAGCCGGCAACTATTGTAAGAATAGGATCAAAGCAACGAAATATAGCACCCACAATCAACATTTTTCCCAGCTTGGGATCCACTGGAAGCATTGAGAGAAACCTCCCAAGATTAGAAAGATTTTCCTTCTCATCTAACGCTCCAATCATCTTGAGAAAATTGATAGCATTTTGGACAGCCCGTGGCTCTGGTGCCTGTAGAGCTGCTGATAAGAACTCTCCTATGCTCTCAACCTGCAGACTCTTTATTTGCAAGCAAAGAGAGTTCAAGGGTGTTCTCAGTAGCTCAGGAAGTTGGTATTCAGAAAACGCTTCATAAACACATTGGGGATAAAGGTGGTAGCATTCTCCTGGTTGTACACGACCTGCTCTCCCCCTTCTTTGACGAGCAGATGCTTGAGATATCCAAGAAGGTAGTAGGCAAGGTGTGTTATTCAAAGCATCGTAAGTAGTCTCTTTTGCTTTTCCACAATCAATTACAAACACTACATCATTGATAGTAATACTTGCCTCTGCCATATTTGTTGCAAGCACCACTTTCCTTACATTTGGTGGTGGTTTCTCAAATATGAGTCTCTGTTCAGAAGTTGCCATTGAACCATGACATGTTAGAAGCAGAACCCTATTAGGATCTCCTAAGAGAGGATGAGATTTGAGCTGATCCCTTAAACAACTTATATCCTCCCACCCAGTCATAAATACTAGAACAGCACCTGGTCGTTCCTTCCGACATATATGGCACAGAACAGCTTCAATGAGATTAAATCCTATGCAATCTGGGGACCAAGATGCAAGTGAATCACGGGTCCTAGAGCTATAACCTTCAAAACTTGATTTAGAAAGAGCATCCTATGAAACAATTGGAAGGTAATAATGTCACATATCGAACATGTCACCACTAAGGTCCTAAAACAAATATAGCATGTACACATAAAATTATTGGGATAACCGGGGCTTGCAGACGAAGGTATACCATGTAGTAGCAATTCTTATATAAGTATAAATCCATACCTTAAAAAAGGTCAAAAGATTAATAGTACGTTTTACAAGGAACAACATCAGGCAGCATGCACATGAAACATGACATCTGGCCAAACAGGAATCTAAATTCGAGTCATATCAGAGTTAAAATGATAAAATTAATACCAACACCTCCCAGCTGTTACTATTCCGAGGGGAAATATCTTTAGCTAAAATTGAAGCATAGAACAGGATATTGACACCAAAGTATACCGTGATTGATGCATGATAATAAATCAATCAATCAAAGCAAAACAAAGTAGGCATATCCATATTCTATAGCAATAACATGAATTCAAACAGCACATGTACAATATGGGATGAAAATCAAGATTTGAACAGGTATTTCTAGCCTAAGTTACCAGAGGTTCCAACTTTCTAACAACAGCAACAACAGTATATCTTGACAAACCTGACCTACCCTACTCCCGCCCAAAAGATAAAACTAAAATGAATAAAAGATCTTCCAAGTTTTGAGAAAAGAACCAAAGTTCCCCCAACTCACATCACACGCCAAATTCAAAGATAACAAACTTCAGAGCATTGTTAGAAGAAATTTGAAGAAACTTCGAGATTCAGCAGTGTTTGAAGTATACAGCTCTACAATAAACATGCACAAACCCAGACAGACAAACACATAACGGTAGGAGAAAAAGCACTTGAATATCATTCAAATTACCCACTATATTAGAATAGAGTACCCAAAGTAGTTTCACACCTCAACAAGAGCAGTGATCTGATTCTTCTTTTTTCTTGGTGCTAGCTGCCTTTGTGTTTTCCACAGTTTCTCTTGACCATAATCATCAATTTGGTTGAAAGGAGTTAACTTATATCCAGTCATTTCTAGAACATCTTCCAAGAAACGAGCTCTCACAGGATAGGTGAAACCCTGGCAACAAAAAAATGCACTCAAAACACTACTCCTTTAGAAGCAAACATTTGAAACATTGGAAGAGTAGATTTCAGGAATAGATTCAATCTCATGTTGGTATTAGAAGGCAAGATATTGAATTCATACCAAAAGGCATAACAAAGAAAATTTGACTAAAGCATCACAATTCAGTTTCCAGGGAAGGGAGGAGGGGTCCCTCCTGAACGCAGTGTGTTGGGATGACAGCGAAAATTTTGCAATTAGGAAAACCACTTATGAGAAAATCCATTTGCAACAACTAATTAATGCATGGATATATCAACCAAAATGGATTTTGTTCTTAGTACTGTTAGGGAAAGTGACTATTGTACCAGTTAACTAAGAGCGTAAAAATGTACAAGATCAAATGGAACTTTTGGTAATAAACAGCAATAGGACAATTTTGATAGCATGTGAGAGTAATGAAACTAACAGAAACTGGGGTCATTTAAATGTCAAAACTGACTACTTTGAAATGGAGGGAGAAAAAGGTATTTGGAGCCTCAAGATTGTCAAAAGAAAACTTCCGTAGTCATCAAATTGCATGCAGACATCCAACTTAGCAACCATCCAGCCACACAGGGTTGATACATCCTGTATAACTGAATGTTCAATTTATACAAAAGTACTCAAAAGAGAACTCAAGGTTGGGCTCACCGGAATATGAAATGTTGGTGCATCTCCAAAATAATTGGAAAATAGCTCAGCATTCAAGGTGGCACTCATTAAAACCAATCTCAAATCCCGACGACGTGGAAGAAGATCCTTTAACACAATCAGTAAGAAGTCTGAGATGAACCAACACCAAACAGAGGAAAGCATAAGTCTAATTTAGTTGCTTCCTTAGCAGTATATAAGTCCTTAATCTGACATTATTAGGAGAATTACCTTCATTCATGCCTCGCTCATGAATTTCGTCAACAAAAACATGGGTTACACCATCCAGGTTTCGATCACTCAGCAACCGTCTAAGTAATATACCACTGGTACAGAATAGCAGATGTGTGTTTTTCCCCCTCATACCTTCTAATCGAACTTTGAAACCAACCTGTCAAAACACCTCTGTTGGGGAATAGCAGCAAGAACGAAGAAGTTCCCAATTTTAAAATACGTTTTTCAAAAGCAAAAAAGTTTGAGTCTTTTTACTTTCTTCATGAACTTAATGCTTCATTTTAACTTTTCTGTACCATCATATTAATCACTTTGGTATTTTTTTTCCTAATAAAACAGAACTTACTGTTTCACCAAGAGGCTCTCCTCTCTCCGCTGATACTCTCTCAGCCACAGCCATAGCAGATATCCTTCGAGGCTGTGTGCAAATAATGTTGCAAAATGCTCCACGACCAGACTCTATCTCTGACTCTAATACATACTGAGGAAGTTGTGTGGTTTTACCACAGCCAGTCTCTCCAGATACTACAATCACCTATTATGATAATGATTAAGGTAAGGCATTAATTTGTTAACGTGAAAAACTCCACATTCAGCTCATTCTTCTAGATAAGCCATACAAAAAGCTAGTGTATCAGATACAAAAATGACAAGATCTGATTTAGGGGAATTAGAATTTCATCAAGTGAAGATAATCTATTATAAACTAATAAGAAGGGCATGCAAATGATAGTAATTGCAAAAACTCCAAAGGCCTGCCTGATTTCGTGCTATAGCTTGAAGTAAGCCTTCCTTCTCCCTGAATGCTGGCAGAGATTTCCGGAATCCCAGCATCAGCTTGCCTTCAGGTGATTCCTATAAAAGGTGCAATATACATGTAAAATATTAGGCTTAAACAAGCAAAAACTATTTATAGTAGTTTGTGACTGATGATTAAGAACAGCTTCTCCGGTCATAAGGGTAATTAGCTAGAATATTTTAAAGAACATTCTTGAATATCAATCCACTAAGATCACATGGTAAGAAAAACCCGTCAAGACCAATAAATCTAGAATGAGTTCCCTGTCATATACCTAAACTCTCAATTTTGCAAGCATATGTGGTGGTTCAATTGTCTGCTTTTAGGATATCAAGCGTCATGCAGCACCTTGTGTTCAAGAATCATGGGCCTTTCTGAAAACAATCCTATAACCACTTCTTATTTCTCTCTCTCTTTCTAGGTTTTTTTTTAATTTCTGAAGTCACAATCCTAACAATAAAAAAAACCTGTAAATAATTTACCTAATCCCCCTTATATTTGAAAACAGTAAGCATGTACATACAATATGATGATTAGCAAGGGTTCCAGCACCCACTTTACAGGTGACTCAATGAGTTTTAGAATACTATATATGGGTCTAATTGGCAATAATTAGTGTCTCTCCAGTCTCATTATCCAAAGTTAGTAAGAGGTACTAAGGATACGAATTTCAATTATACCATTTGTGACCAGCAATCGAAGTTCTTGAGGGAAAACAAAAGAGTATCCTCATCTCCCAATATCACAGAAGAGAAAGAAAATCAACAAATATTAGCTGGCAGTAAAAGGAGCAATGGTGACTTTAATGAGGCCAGCCATAAAACTTGGAATCAAGGCTACTTTTTATTGAAACATCAATGATACACAGTATTTAATGATTAGAAAAAGCATACATTCTCTTTAACTCCAAGCAACCAATCAGTTTCCTAATAACTTAGAAATAAGCAAGCAATTGATCAGTTTCCCTAATAACTTAGAAATAAAGTGCAGGAGGAAAAGAAAATGATCAAACATAAAGGAGCAACAGCAGCAGTTACAATCTCTTGACTGCCACTTAATAATTCAAACAGTGGTACAAGATGTGAATGTCAACAAAGAATTGAGGAAATCAAACAAATAAAACCTGCCAAGATCTTTGCATATTACGCATCCTCAAACTTCTCTTCTGGAGAACCTTTTCCATAACAGACTCATCCACAAAAGAATCAGTAATATCCTCCATATCAACATTGTTAGCTGGACTTGAATCATCCACATTGTTAGCGAGCTTTTCACAATTTAAATGAAGTCTATCAATGTATTCTTGCAACAAACCTTCAACCCTCCGTTGCAAGCTTAGAGGAATAACCACCTGTTCCAATGAAAGGTGCGTTTAGTTTTCTAGAATCGAGAATGAAATCAGTCATAGGTCATGTCAAATTGCCTCGCTGACACCACCTCAAAGTATTACCTCTCTTTGAGGACGCTTGTCATCCAAGTCTGGCCTGTAGTGAGGAAGAGGCACTTTGCTTGCAACAATAACTTTTCCATACAATTCACTGTGTAAAGTGTAACAGAACACATAACAATCAAGGACCAAAAACAGTGGAAGAAACTTATCATGCATGCTCAAAGTAATCATTCAAAGTCAAGCAAAGTGCAATTATATCCTATCAAAGTATTGATGACCCTATTTGATTCCATATTGCAAAAGAGTAAGAAAAGTGGAAACATACGTTTATTTATCTTTAAAAAGGTTTATTCATCTTTAAAGTCCCATTAAATTTATTTACCTGTAAAGTCCCATTCTTTTGGCAAGATTAGATATCTGCTCATAGTCTCTCCTATCTTTTTTGTCTCTAGATACAATCTCCTGGTCCTTTTCACTGCGTAACAGCATGCTGAGTTTCCATTTCCACTCGTCAACATTGGCCACCGTAGATGATGCCTGTAAGTATAACAACTACGTTTTCTTAGAACGAGAGGAAATCCCAAACAGTGGGCTATTATGGTTGACAGAAGCTATTAACCACATACTAGCATATAGGATAAGCGCATAATTTATAAATGGAAATAAACCTTATAACGTTTCCGGCATAACTAGATAATTAGTCTTTAGTCTTAAACACAACAAACTAAAAGAGTTTATATCACAGATAATACATACAAAACTTGTTAAACGGCCATGAAGATTTTAGAAGTAAACTCTCTCTTCGTTTTATCCAACAACAAAAGAAAAAAAAAAAAATCTATGGACAAAACGAACCTGATGGTTCTCGAAATCACCCTCGTACTCGTCATCCGAGAACTGCTCCAGGGCGTACCCAGAAACCCGACGTTTGGGAATGAGGAATCTGCCATTACAAATAGAAGAAATCCAAGGCGGACGCCCAGTGAGTGTCCTAGCAGGGGAACAACGAAGACTGGGGAGAAGCTGCGTGTGGGCTTGCACAGATTTTTTCACACATCCTATGAGAAAAGCTATTGACTGCTTCGAATTTTGCATTCTAAACAATGAAGGTGATGAGGCAGTGACCTCATGGCCGTCCTTCGAACCAAGTGAAGTATCTGTGCGACGAAACAATCGAACCCAGTTCGAGTTTAGTTATTGGGGTGCTCTGGTCAAGAACGGCTGGGGGAAGTTTTTCTTTCTTTTTTTCTTTTTTTTTAATAAATATTAATACCAATATTAAACACATTTTGGAATGGAAAATAATTATATGAAGTCTTTAGATCTATCATTATATCCCATGGCTAAGTGTTTGTACGTTAAAAAATAAGACATTTAACCATGTGTAAGTGATTGAAGAACTTGATATATAGATATAAAAAAATTAGAGTTAGAAATTGTCTTTTTCTTTTTGGGGAAATGGTTGTATGAATATATATACACACACACACACATACACACATATATAGATTGAACCAAATGCTTGGCCAAAAAAGTTGAACCAAATGGTATTGAATCAAGGCGAATCCAAAGAAACCAAATAAAACCAATCAATTATCAATTATAAACCGTCACAGTAAAAATTAAAATATTAAAATTGGTTAGTAAAAAAATTATGTGCCAACTAAAAATATTAAAATTATATTAAAAAAATACAAATGTAGTTTTAAATATTTATTAAATTATTATGAGAATTATTAAAATTAATTGCATAAGAAAAATGAATAATTTTATAATTATTATAATGGAAAATTGTATGTTTAGAGGAGCAACTCTTTTCTGTATAAGAAATGGTAACAAATCTGCTCACTTATCTTGAAACTTTTTATATTACAATTTTTTGGGACCTCATATTAATGTTTCCTATATACTTTGAAGGAAGAATTGTAATGAGGTTCCAAAAAAAATTATTACTAAAAAATTCTAATAATAACTTAAACAATCTGTAATGTCAAGTTCTATAATAAAAAATAATAATTTCTAAAACTTATTTTGTAATTATTTTTTTAAGATCTTATCATAATCCTCTCTATTTTGAATTGGGGTCAAAATAAAACTTTTAAGAGGAGAAGGTGAAATTTTTAGGGGAATTATCTGTAAATCTTACTCATACACAAGATTTCTTGGCACTATTAACCTTTTATTAGCAGGGCGAGTGCCCGAACCCACATCCCTGCAATGGTTCAAGCATTAGACTCACTTGTTCTAATAAACAAGTTAAAAATTACTCATTTTATTTTTAAAAAAATTAAAAAAAAGGATTATTATATGATTTGAGTTTTTTTTTTTGGAGAATTATTGTGTAATTTCATATAGTTACTTTGGCAAAAGAAATGTCATATAAATAACCTAGTTGCTGAAATGTCAAATAACAAATAAGTAGCATATAACATTAAGGGCTAAAATGCGCCCAATACTCCAAACTATTTTCTCAGATACGTCTAGTTGAAGTAATTTTTGATGCACCAAATATCTTAAACTAATTAAAACAGTGTACTTATATCCTAAAATAACAGAACAGTTTTATTTGATCGTTAACCCGTCAAAGTTGACCCCCCTCTCTCTTCATTCTCAAAGTTGACCCTTCAAGGTTCCATGGCTACCATCTTCTCCATACCCCAACACTCCTCTTGTCCTGCAACACCATCTCTGCCGCCTTCAAGTCTTCCTCCTCTTCCATCCTCAACCACACTCTCTCAACTTCCTTCCTTTACCTCCGTTTTGGAATCCAACCCTTCAATGATACCTCCGTCTTCAGTCTCATCTCCTCCTCCACACGCTCAACATTGGACTGCCCTCTCACCTACAACCACAACTACCTCGCCAACCTCTTACCGCCGTCCATCCATAAAGTTGTCTATGTGGACTCCGACTTGGTCCTCATCGACAACATCACCAAGCTCACCGCAACACCTCTCGGGTTCGATTCGGTCCTCACCACGCCAGAATACTGCAACGCCAATTTCACCTAATACTTCACGTCGTCGTTCTAGTTGAACATGTCCCTGTGGCTCAAGTTTACGGGTCGGAGGGCTTGTTATTTCAACATAAGCGTGATGGTGATCTATCTGGAGTGATGGTGAGAAAGGGATTACATGAGAAAGATTGAGGAGTGGATGGAGCTACAGAAGAGAATGCAAATCTACGAGCTGGGATCATTGCCACCGCTCTTGCTAGTGTTCGCGGGAAACATCATTTTGGGATAAGGGATTGAGAATGAAGAGAGAGAGAGAGGGGGGTCAACTTTGAGCTGAGTAACGGTCAAATAAAACGATTTTGTTAACTTGGGACACAGGTACATCGTTTTAATTAATTTGAGATATTAGGTGCATTAAAAATTACTTCAAAACATTAAGGACACTTGAGAAAATAGTTTGGGTACTGGATCCATATTAACCCTGATACTAATAACAAAAAGAAAAGCAACATATAATAAAAATATTCACTGTCATGACCTATTGTCATTGTATGCTATTGGCTAGTCATTTAAGTAGTTAAATTCCTTGTGCTATAACATGAATATGTCCATTGATTTTTATATATATATACACACACACACACTCTTTCGGTCCTTAATATAGTACTCAATTTTTGAGTTGATTTTGGTCTTAAATATAAGACCCATTTTTCATATTTATTAATTTTCTCTAAATTATCCCTATGAATATTTCCTCAACCATAATCAAGTAGAAAAGGGAAGGGGGTATTAAGAAAGATAATTATGGTGTTTTAGGAAAAATGTGTCATTTTTCTTATAATTAACTAACTTACCTAACTTCCTTAATCTAATCAAATTAGTTAAATGGATCTTATATTAAGAAGAAGAAGTATATATATATAGCTTTTTTCCTCTTTTCATTTTTTTCTATGTTTTATTTTGTGAGGGAAATGTGATTGAAACGATGTCGTTGCCCCATCAGCCCTTGTACCCAGTGTCAAACCCGCTCCTCAGTGCAGTTCCATACTTCCCGTTCGGTCGCCACACATAACACCGAAGACCTCCTTTTGGTCGCCGTCATCAGCAGCAGGAGGCATCATCGGAGCTCCATTAGCCCCCGTCAGCCGCACAGGTTCTCTTCTATATTTCCTCGTCGCTTTGCTTTTCTGTCTCCCCACCTCTTTTTTTTATTTCCCGTCTTCCAGACTTCGTTTCGGATCTCTCCCTCATGATTTCTCTAGAAAGTTGAGCTTGCTTTTGACCTCAAGTTCTGTTGAAACTTGGAACTTTACTTTTTTAATTTGAAGATGGGCTGAGTCGCTTTCGATTTCTCTAGAAAGTTGAAACTTTGCTGTTGAAGAGGGGAACTTGGCTCTTGGTCTCTGTCCCTCTTTGTGTATATGTTATAATAAAATGAGAATTAATATGAAATTTGAAACCTTGCTGTTGATGATCGGAACTTGGCTATTGGCTTCTCTCCCTCTTTGTGTGGATGTTATAATCAAATGAGATTTTGAGATAGTTGATCTTTTTCGTCGGTGCTGCTATGTAAATGATTTGAGATGGTTGCTGGGTTGCCAATCCTTGTTTCGCACACCGTTTGTGTGGGATTCCTTTGCTTAATCTCTATTGTGGAAGTATGATCTTGTTCTGCCTTCTAACTTCTGGAAGTTATTGTTCAGAATTGATGGTCAGAAAGGGTTAATATTTGGTTTAGACTTTTGCCGTAGTTGCGGTCTTTTGGTGATGTGTATTGGGTGCGAGTTTAATGTTAGAGGGTATTTACAAAGTACGGACATGGGCTGCTTGCAAAGTTTTCTGTCATTCCTCTGTGGCTCTGTTTCTTATGTTCCGATTAAATGTTGATTTGATTCCAAGGTCCTTTTTTGGGATGCAAAACTAGAGGAAAATTTGTAGTGTTAGCTTTCAGTATGTGTATGTGTATACCATCTAGGGCTAGACTGGATTATTGATATATTTTGAGCTTGTGTTGGTAATTTCAAGAGCTGATTCCCGTGTGTGAATATTGTTTTGGCTATATCTGGTTTCTAGTGTCTATTTATCAGTCTCTGTGCATTTGTTCTTCTCCTTTTTTTAAGAATAAATGCATTGCCATGTTGATATGATACTCTACTGTAGGTGTTAGATCATTCTTTTCCTGTTTCTTTTCTTTGCTATTCTATTATAAGCTGTTCTGTCTTTCTTTTACTTGATACTTCAATGTGCATTGATGTGAAGTTAGCGTCTTGTGATCCCAAAATTTTATCTTTTTGACATCTTAGCTGGTTCTATTTCTACATGCTCTCAAACATAGCAACCTTGCTCCTAATATTCTTATCTCATATATCTTCATTCGCATGCTCATGTAAGAGAATTTGTAAACGGAGCGTGACTTTGAACTCTTGTCTTCTAGAAATAATTTGACTGATGTGCTTGTCAGGTTGGCCGATCAGATTTTTTAAACACCCCAAACAAAAAAACGCAAAAAAATAAAAAATAAAAATCAGGTCTTATTTTGTTTGATTACTGGTCACTGGTTTTATTGATTTTGCATGATCTTGATTTAAGTGATAAGAAAGGTCTGCTACTAGAAATTATTGAATGGGGAACACTTAAACTGCTGGTTGGTTGCTAGTTAGAAGCATATTTTGTTACGTCAACTGCAAGTCTCATTTGGTAGGTTTCCTTCGTCATGGCATAGAGTTTGGTCGAAACAAAAATCAAGGCCTTGAGTAATGTGCTGATGGATATTGGATAGTCTGCATTTTTTATATTGATTAGATCTTGTGCATACCTGCGACACCTTATTGACATGATTAAAGTGATTGATAATTGAGTTTTGTGAAACTTTTATGTCGTCTTTTGGAATTGATTTCTTTACTCTTTGTGGAAATATTTTATATATAGATATTCATGTCATACTCTAGATGTTTCTTATAATGGATTGCACTGCAAGAAGTGGGTCACTGCCATACACTTCATTAAAATTAAAAGTAAGGAAAATAAGAAAGCTATTGATTTTCCAATATGGAGTTTCATTTTCTTGTATATCCTTTTGCCTCCTCTGATGGAATTTTCCTTTCTCCATTTGCATAGAACAATGGCCAGTAGTGATACCGAGGCCAGCACTCTGACTGCTGCTGAAATTTCATCCTCAACCAGTAGCAAGGAACCAGTTAATGAGCAAATGGTTGCAAATTTGTATGCTGCTATGAGAACCGAACTCAATCGGATTTACTCAAAGATCACTGAACTCGAAATGGAAGTTAGCGAGCACTCCTTGGTTATAAATGCCATTCAGCCGCTGGATCCATCAAGACGATGCTATCGCATGATTGGAGGGGTGCTGGTGGAGAGAACCATCAAAGAGGTTCTGCCAGCCGTGCAGCGCAACAAGGAGGGCCTTGAAGAGGTTATCGCTAGGCTTAATGAGACATTGGAAAAGAAGAAAAAGGAAATTGCTCAGTTCGAGGCCAAATATAAAATCAGAATAAGAAAGCCAGAACAAGAAGAGAAAGACGACAGTGGCCGGAAAGAAGGTTCTGCACAAGGAGTTCTTGTAGGCCCTGCTGGTGCAAGTGATTGAAAATTTTTCCATTATATTTAGCTGGGTGCCATTAATCTGAATGTCTGGAGTTTAGGATCATTCTGAGTAGTACTTGGTATTTTGGTTGCTTGGATCTCAAATAGACTGTTTGTCTTTGTATTTGAGAGAATCTTGAGGGGGAAACTGACAAATACATATTCTCAGTGCTCTTAATCGACTAGTACTACATATTTGTATAATCATTATATAGGTAGATCGTGCTTGTTGAGTGCATGTACATCATGATATTTGGATTTTCTTTTCTCATGTCTGCCATGTGCTTGTTTTGGTCAAGTTTCACTGTTATTTGGAGTGTTTATGAGGATAAATCTCAGGCTAGATGAAATCAATCTGTTTTTCTAACAGGCGGATGTATTTCATTTTCTAGTGCATCACTTAACTAAACTCCATTATTTAGTTCAGTTTGGTTTAATTGACGGATTCATTTATTTTAGGACCAAGTAATTCACCATTTATTTCACAAACTATGTGTCAAAAAGATTCTTTACCCCTTTTACAAGTCAAATAATATAGAATTTTATGAAAACGCAAGTCAAACTTAACATTGTGTTTTGAAATGTGTGTATACGTGTATCTATGATGGCACACTTTTTAAATTAATTCAATTTTTAGGGTCGTTTCAATAAAATTGCTCCATTTTCACTTTATATTTTAGCAAATTTGTCCTTTTTGTGGGGGTATGATCTAGGATGATTTTATCAAGTAATTATACCGATGAAACTAATGATTATTGGAGGAACTACAAATGCATCAAAGCAGGCTGTGGAGATTTTTTATAGACAACAAATTAGCCATTGCAAAAAGCCAAGAGTACAGTCCATCATGAATGAAGGTCTAAGCATATTAATGGGCAGTTCTTTTTTTTTTTTTTTCAATCGAAAAGCACCCAAAATCCAAATGTAGTTGAATTAGTGCATGAGAAATTCAAAAAGCAACTGATTTATATTTCCACAGCACTCCTTAAGAAAATTTCCACTAACACGGGGTGAATTGGGTATTAATAAAGATCTACAATTGGTAAAATAATAAAATTAACTAATATAACAAGAGTAGAGTGGAGAAAATATTCTTTATTATTTGGAGGAAGAGGAGGAGAAAATACATACAAGGATTTATATTAGTTTGGTCTAATTTGACCTACGTCTGTTTCTCAAGTTCCACTCAAGAATTTCACTATATCCTGAAGATTTAATATGCTCTTGGTTCCACAGCACATTAACCACCTCTATATTAGAGGTAACGCCTTAATACCCGAGGTAATAACTCCCTCTTACAACACACGAGAATAAATCCTTCTCAGAATCCCATGATTCTAAAAAAGTGTTTGAATAAGATCAAAACCATAGTTTCAGAACTGCTTTTAGGATATACAAGGTAAATATGTGAAAGAGTTTACCTCGATTTGTGAAAAAATGCTTCTGAGAAGTGATTATTGGGGTATCCAAACACCCCATAAATAATAAATGAAAGAGTACAACAATGGATTGTAATATTCTCTGTCTTAACAGAGTAAATGCTAAACATACAGGCTCAATAAATTTTTCAAAGAATGTCGTAAAGAATGTTCTTTTTGTATATTGAGTTCTTTCTCACTCACTTCTTGTTCTCTTCTTCTTCCTTCAATACATTCTTTTATTTGGTGTCTTTCTTCTGAATTGGTCCGTTAGACAAAGTAATATTTCCATTAAAACTTTTGTGTATGGTGGGTAAGAGTATTAAATAAAACTTCTTGTTGAAGCATGAATCTGAAATAGTCGGCTCAATTTAATGCTATTTGATGAAATACTTTTCTTCTTAATCTTCTTGTTAGATCTCAATACACTGTAGAGAGTGTTTTAATATATTCTAAAAATGACTTTTAATAAAACACTCTTCTTAGAAACAATTTTAAGGATATTTTTCAAATCCAATAAAGTATTTCTTCAATATAAAACTCAGATAGAAAGGGAGTCAAAAATGACTTGGAATATATTTGTAATTTATTAGATTTAGCCAACGAAAATACAACATATAAAACTCAGTCTGACTCGAATAGAACTAGAGTCACTTTTAACTTGATTTCTATCTTGAATATATTTAAGTTGAACACTCAAACGTACAATAAAGAACTTTAAAACCAGCTATAACGTATAAAGTTTTGTCTGACTCAGATAGAATCGGAGTCACTTTTAACTTGATTTCTATTTTGAATATATTCCAGCTGACTACTCAAACATATAATGAAGAACTTTGAAACCAACTCAAATAGACTTGGAGTTGAAAACGACTTTCGATATATATTTTCAATATATTTGAGTCAGTTACTAAAACAGGCAAGATACATATGTGGCTAAATAACAAGACCTTTTTGACATTGTTCATATTTCGGATTCATACGATTCAAATATTTAGTACTAGATGAAATGTTTAAAACTTTGAACCAATAAAACGGCTTTTTGAAACATATTTGCGGACAGTAAGCTTTATGGAACACTTTTCACGAATTAATTAAACTTCGTTTCCCTGCAAAGTAAGTTCTTTGCTAATATTGTTATCATCAAAACATTGGTTCTAACAATTTTAGATGCCAATAAGTTAAAGGAGTATGTGAATAACAGGGTCATACATAGGCTAGCAGAAATGTTGAGGGCTAAGTTCTTGTAGGGATTATAAATCCTTTTACGTACCAAAACCCAGAGATTGTAAAGTGAGGATTGTAACATTCTGATAGGTGTGAATAAGAAAAGTATTCTCAACATGGTACGTATGGATACATGACGTTTGAAACCTGAAAGGGTGAGTGAGAGAGAGAGAGGGAGGGAGGGAGGGAGGGAGAGGTGTTGAAGTCTAGAAACTGAAAAGGCGAGTCTCCAAGATGTAGGGTCATATTTTCTAAGCCACATATTCTTTTAGTTTTATTAATAGGATAGAAAGAGAAGTTTTTTTTATCCTATTTATAAGGTACTAAGAGAAATTTTTTATAAAAATGTATAATTTTATTTTTCATTTGTTATTGTGTTAAATTTGTTTACATAAGGTATACTGTATATTAAATAAAGATAAAGATGAAAAGTTATTGAATTTTAGATGAGAGTTTATGAAGTTTAAGATTTTTTTAATCTATGTAAAATATGTTAAAAATTACTTATAAATAGGACCAGATCAGAGAAATATCTCGCAATTGGCATCATTTGAGTGATGTCTTTAACGGAGATCATTTGGAGGAGCCAGTAAAGAGAGAAGAAAAGCTAATTCAGAATAAGTTAAATGATAAGGATTTGTGAGATTAATTTTCCCTAAAAATATAATACCATACAATAAAACGTTTTTATTGCACTTCGGCTTGGCAAGAGGCATAGCCATCCAGATATGAATTTTGTTAAACCTAATGGAAGCTTTCATTGAATTTTCAAAAAGAAATGGGTTTGACTGCAAATCCTCAGTAATTTTTTCTTTTTTAAAGAGTTTAAATAATCATTAATATAAGTAAGTATCGGTGCCAATATTAATATTAAAAAAAAAAAGAAAACAGAGAAACGACCCCTCTTCTATTTTAGAGAGTCCAATTCTTACATGAACAAAGTTAGATTTGCCGAGTAGCAAGAAATGAACCATTCTCTTAATCACTTAAAAAAAAAAAAACCTAATTTGTTTTAAAATATCACCGGTTTTAAATATACAAATTAGGTCTTATATTTAGAACTAAATATAGCATTTTAAAACCTCACCAAAGGTCCATGAACCTCAAGGATCATGAAAGACAACCACAAAGAGAAAGAAATAAATATTTTATAACGACATAGAAAGCTTGTCCAGGTTTTCGAAATCTGGAAAGATAAAACTGACAATTCAATGTCTACAAACTTCTCTTTTTTTAACTTCGGTTATTAAGGCACTGACTTCACCCATCTTTTTTGGCAGAAACCCATCACCCAACTCCCCCTTTTACATTTTTTATAACTCCACGGCATGAGCAATCTCCGTAAAACTTCTTCATTGCAATTAGTACTAAACCCTGTAGTATCTTCATTGGCATGAAAATATCAATTTAGTGATGCAGGCAGGACTTAAAGCAACACATACAAGATCTATTTAACAAATACCACCTCTTTAATAGTACTGCCCAAACCCACTTACATGGATTTGCCTAATCCCAAATAACAAGCAAAATTCCTCATCAAGGGTAGAAATAGGCTAGGCTAAATTAGGTTTGACCTTTAATAGGCTAGGCTTTTGTTGAAACCTTTTGGCTTGAGCCTCACATTCGACCTGTGATGGGACTTTTGTTCAGCCTAAACTTAACTTGGTATGATTTGAAAGCTGTTAAGAAGTCCGTATTTTTAACAAATTTCAAACATACATAAATCAATCCCAATTATCTGAAATACAAACATAAAATATAGAATAATCAAATCAACACAATTTCTTCTTGTTACAATTATAACAAATCTTCAAATGGCAAAGCATCAAATCTTTAACAGTATTTCTTCCTCTTGTTTGATCACCTTGAGGGACCCTCATAATAAACACTTTTTTTTAACAGGTTTCTTAATCTCAATCCTAATTCTTACCTCTAATTCCCAACGCTTCATATCAAATGGAAGCTAAGATTATAAAATGAGGAGTAATTGATTAACTTTAAGAAGTAAGCATTTTCCAACCACTTGACGGAAATATCACAATTCATAAGAGGAAGTACAGGATAAAAATAGAGCATTTGACATTATCTTAGTGCTTCAGAAGACCTTGATTTTCATGAATAAGCATCTTTGCTTTATCATGCTCATTTTTCATTGAAACAGCTATAGCAAGCGTTCTAAATGAAAGAAGTTTTTCAAAAATATGATGCAGTAAAGTCTATTTTTTATCAACATCAAAATAAAAAAAATTATTACACTCAAACTTTTTTTGACATCTATATATAATATATAATTTAATTGACTGATTTTCATTTTATTTATCTGTGGCAAAATTATTTTAAATGTATGTTAGTGTGAAAGTTATACCATCAACCACTAACGTTATTATGCTTACAAACAAATTATGAATATGTGAATTAATATATATAGTTAAAAAAATTATAACAACTAAAAAAAGAAAATTCAATGAGTTTGTAAAATGTATATCTTTTAATCTTAAATAAATATATCATTTACAAAATTACTGTTCCATTTGGCTTCATTCTATTAATTATTCTTTTATTTTATTTCGCCCTACACTCTTATAACAATGACATCAATTCGAAGTAATAAAAATATATACTTGTTAACCTTTAGGATCTCATATCATTTCAACATACGTTTTTAAGACTTGTGATGAGAAAACCATATATAAGGGAATCAATTTAGCAATGAAAAAGCATCCAATAACAACTTCATACAAACTAGTTAGAAAAGTTTTGGAATCAATTAAGAATACTAGATGAAGAAATTGATGTTTTAAATAAAACATGTCATATAGATAATGTAGGATCCTTCATTATTAAAAGAACCTGTTGGAGTATTTTATATTTCCCAACTTAATCCATTTATAACATTATCATTCTAAATTAAGTTATTTCATAAATAATATTGTTATCGTGACTTGTAGGATCAGTATGGTATGTTTTGATATGGGTTATTCGTTAGTTATTATTATATCATATTATATTTCGTTGTTATTGAACATAACTTCATTATATTAATAGGACATGCAATTGATAGTTGGATTGTTCAATTTGCGCTCGATCAAATTGTTAAATGATTATATGCATGTATATTATATGCGAAGGAGTTTAAGTAACTTTCTGCAGTCAAAGAAAACAAGAGCAACCTTCATGATTCTCAAAAGTATCGATTACAATATATTTAATAACTCAGAACTTAAAAGCAGCATCTAAACTAGTGCTCAGAGAAACAATCAAATGTTGGATTGCTAGCTTGTGAAGGTGCAAAGACAGCAACAACAGAATGCTATAGGTAGGCAATCTGTGAAGAAGATTACTGAAGCAACTGCCAGAACATACAGCAAGTTGAGGAGATTTTTGGTCAACAACAAATTAGCCATTGTAGAAGCCGAGAATACAGTCCATCAGGAATGGTCTAAGTTATTAAGGAGTATATTTGTTTCACCAGAAAGCATACAAATTCAAATGAAGTTAAATTAGTGCTTGTGAAATTCAAGAAGCAACTAATATATATGTCTACAGAACCATACTTAAGAAAATTTTCAAAGAGACCATAATTAATTTTAGTTCCAAGTAAAGGAGTATGTGAGATGGAAGAAGTGTCATAAAGGCTAGCGGAAATCATGAAGGCTAAATAGAGGGGTGAAACAATCTGACAACTGTGAGTGTTGGAAGTATATAGAGGGGCGAAACAATCTGACAATCTGACTAAGTTTTAATCGAATCAAAATTTAAAAATTGAGTCAAAAACTGCGTGAGCCAAACCAAATAATTTTCCCACTTCAAGACTTTGCATCACTAACCGGTAGAGCTACAATGGTATATGTGAAGTGATGTCTTGCAAAATAGGAAACCAAAACATTCGTTTCTGAATTGAAATATAATTCAATCATAGTAAATTGAAACATCAGACTTCGTCAATCTCACTCTCACCATTTAGTTAACAATTGCATACGCATGATCACTAACCTAGAAATAGAATTAATAAATATAAAAAGATCAGTTGATAACTCTAGAAACACACTGTCTGCCTGGGAGAAATTCATAGTGTCTATGGAACAGAAATGATCAGCAGTGTCAATCAAGCAACATAACGTACGAGTGGTGATCCTGCAAACTCACTCATTATGAAATGAATACAGAACACAAAATGATTAAGATAGAAACAAAACTGCAAGAAAAGGACCGGTGGTTGTCAAAACACACACACAGAGAACAAAGAGAAAACTGCAATATCATCCCATATGGTTCTGTTGCTGCAGTCTCCAGATCAGTATTTCAAATAAGTGAAATTACTGCTTCCCCTCCTCTCATAGCCTTCCTCCCAAATAAATTGTTCCAGTAGCAATTATATATGGATGAGCAGCACATGAAATATTTCAAATTCAGGATAGAAATTGCAGCTTAGCATGACGGGATTATTAGTTAATCATTGCAGTTAAATTTATTGGCAACAAAATGCACTCATATAGCAGCAGAAAGCCAGAAAATCCACTAGCCTAGTCGTTTATAACAATGTTTCAAATTAGATAATAATTAAATGAGTAAACAATGAGTAACGCAGACAATTAAAAGTGGGCACTGCCCATATTCAAACAAAGGAGCATGCATTCCGAAAAGGAGACAATATTAGCATTCATAAAGGAAAGAAGCTACATACAGAATGCATGGTTCTCAAATGAACGCGCGCACACACGACAGATGTAATAAGAAGAAAAACCTTTACAGCAGCACCTCATACTTGGAACACAATGGCAATGAGGTTATTAATAACCTATGATAATTAAAAATACCATTTATTATAGTTAACAATGCACCTAAAAACCATCGTGCTGAATTCAAACAAAGAGGCAAGCACTGGCCTAAAAACTTCAGGCAAGTATCATCATTAGTACAAAGCATATCATTCGACCAAAATAGAGCCTTTGAACTTGTTTTGCTGTCGCAGAATTCCTCTATCAACCATTTTATAAAGAAAAAATGATGCTCTATCATTCTCATTTTTCCTCAAAAGACCTACTATAAGTGTTTTAAATGTCACAGCATCTGGGAGACAGCCGTTCTCTTCCATTTTTGAAAGCAATGTCAATGCCTCACCGAACAAGCTTTCTTTGCAGAGTCCATTCAACATAATGTTGTAAGTGTAGACATCTAGATGATGGCCACTGGTCAAAAGGAATTCAAAGATCTCTCGCGCAATATTTAGCCTGCCTCCCTTACACAAACCATCGATTAGTATATTGCATGTGCGCACTGTAGGTTGCATTCCTTGACTGACAATTTGCTGATATAATGCAATCGCCTCATCAAGAAGTTTTGTTTTACAAAATGCATCCAACAAGATATTGCAGGTTATTATATTAGGAGCGTGACCATTGCAACGCATCTCATAAACAAGATCTTTCACATGTGACATTCTCTTAGCTTTGCACAAGCCATCAATAAGAGAGTTGTAAGTGACTGTATCAGGCAGCAAATTTTTACAGCGCATCTCATTAAACAAAACCAGGGCTTTATCCATCCTTTTTAATTTACAGTGTGCATTGATCAATATATTGTAACTCCAAACAGTAGGTGTCAAATCAGCTCTAATCATCTTATTGAACACAGCTACGGACTCGTTAAAATCATTCCTCATGCAGTAGCCATTCATCAAAGAATTGAAGATAACAACATTAGGTTTAACACAACACTTCATCATCTTAGCAAAAACAGCTTGAGCTTCTATGGTCCTGCCTCTTTTGCAAAATGCATCAATAAATATGTTAAAGGTATGTTGGGTAGGAGTGATGCCTTTCATGACTATTTCATTTAGCAACCTAATAGCTTGTTGCAACTGGCTGGTGTTAGAGAAACCACAGATTAAAGTGTTGTAGGTAACAATATTAGGAGATATTCCTTGCCTAATCATTTCAGAACACAACTTGGATGCCTCACTTAGTAGGCCTTCTTTACAAAGGCCATCAATAACTATAGTATATATGACAACATTGGGCACAGTTTTAATTTGCCGTGTCCCCATCATTTGGAGCAATTTGACAGCACATCTTGTTTTTGCAGCTTTGCAAAGCCCACTAACTAAGGTACCATAAGTAACTGGGCTTAAGCAAAATCCTTTTGCCAACAAGTCATCGTGAAAGTCGAGTGCTTGCCCTACATCTTTCATGCAGAGTCCTTTCATCAACGTAGTCATTGTTATAGTATTTGGTCGATAACCCCACTTGAAGGTCTTCCCCAGTAAAGAGAAAGCAGAAGTGATGTCACCCACAAGACAGTAGCAATTGATCAAAATGTTCAATGTAACTAAACATGGTCTGAATCCTTTCAATTCCGCCTGCGCAGAAAGTGAGATAGCAGTGGTGCAATGTGTGGTCTTTGCAAGTGATCCTAAAATCTTATTAATTTCGACAATGGAGGGCGGCGGACTCATGGAGAGCAAGCGATGGAACGAAGCTACGGAGTCTCGGAGGCTACTTGGGTTTGCAGAATGAGAATGCACACAAAATCGCAGATTGAGGAAGGAAGGGAGAGAAGGAAGGAAGAAAGAGGGAGAAGATTGCAGAAAGAGAGAGGATTGGGGGAAGACATACCTTGACATAGCAGAAGAGAACGGCATCTTCAGATGAAATTAGAACAAGAATGTCGATTGCATCGAAGCTGCTGCAGCAAAAGGGAAATGCAGGAAACATAAGCTGTGGAATTGAATCAAAGCGATGAGACAGCGAAGGAGAACGCGAAGGTCGATCGACGAAGGTGGCTGCCGGCGCTACCGTATGCGATTGATTTTTCATCTTTGGATCCTGTGGCATAATCGGGAGAGAGTGGCTGTAATTGTAAATCACTTAATTTGCAATCCCATTTTCAAAATGAACTAATTTTGGGCCAATTTTCTAAATATAATTAGTTAATAATTAATATCGCAAGCCAGTACCTAGCACAAAACAAAAGCCGGCTTTCTTAGTCATACGCTATATACAGAAAAAAAAATACTGAAAATTTATGAAAAATCATTCTAGCCATTATAAATAAGATATATAGGGAAATTAATTGAAAAACTACTTGACTAATTTAGATAAAATAATAAAATAAAATAAATTAGTTAATTTAAACAAATATAAAATGATCTTTCCAAAATATTACTCCCTCCGTTCCTTATTATAAGAGACATTTGATGCTATTTTACCCATATTTATTATCTTTAACTCAAACTCTCTCTCCCTTTCACTTCTCTTTCTTTTAATAATTTAATTATTCTCTCTTATGCTCTCTCTCCTACTTAATAAGAGCATTTTTAGAAAAAAAAAATTATACTTTTTACATATTAATTGTTCTTAACTAATTTTAACTGTTTTTTTTATCAACGTACTTCGGTTATTTGTCTTTTATAATAAGGAACAGAGGGAGTATTGTATAACACTAGGTTATGCATAATGTATATATTAATTTATAAGTTAGGAAAATTAATTTTTAAAAAAATAATAAAATTAGAAAAAAATTAATTAAAATATTGTATTTAAAATGAAATTTAACTCTCAAATTAACTCTTATATTATGAATTAAAGGAATATGAGAGAAGGTGGGATCATATCATTTGTAACTATGGCCAGAATATTCATTGGGGGAAAAATAATTAACTTTTTTTCGAAGGAGGCCGTGACTTGATTTAATCTCATCTCAAAGAAAGAAGTTTTTTTTTTTTTTTTTAAAAGCCACAACGAAAAAAGAAAGAGGAACTTTTTTCTATTTTGTTAGATTTCCATCTAGCTAGAGCAATCTTATAACAAATAATTAGTTGACTAAAAAAATAATAAGAGGCCCTAATCAAAGACAAGAAAATTCATAAAAAATAACGCAAATAAAATTCCAAACACGTGAGCAAATCATGTTGAAGATTTAAAATAAATAAATAAATAAGTGAAGTAGTTATCTTGTGGAAATTAGGAAAGGAAAAGGGGGATTAAAGTGAAGAAACTTATTTGTGAGTGATTTGTGTGCAAATTTGTGTGCAAATCTAAACTCATTACAACCGTAAATAATTTTCAGTAAAAGATCTTTCTAAATACTTCCTACCACATAGCATTTCATCATGTCATGTGAAACTTATTGTTGAATTAAGAGTGAAGTTGTTCACTAGCTGAAATATTTTATGTTATTACTAAGAGAGAGAGAATTTGTGAACAATTTTTTTGAAAACCGATATCCATTAATTCAAAAGAACAAGGCAAAACAAGTCCGCGACAACATCTGAGTTCCCTTGTCAATCACTGCTTTTGGTAAAGGGGAGGGAGTCATCAAAGATACAAAAACACCAATTAAAAGTATAAGCATGTTTGGCTAAGTAATCAATAAGAGGTATCAAGAGTGAGCATAACAACTTCTATCAAGAGCATGAACAATTTTACTTTTGTTGATGTGTGCGTGTGTGAGAGAGAGAGAGAGAGAGAGTTTCACAAGAATCATAGAATTAAAAAACAAGAACAACTTATTATTTATATTCTCAAAAGTATGAACAATTACAATATACTCTAGTCACTGAAAAAAGCAAAAACAACTTAAAAGCAGCATTTACACTAGTGCTCAAAGAAACAAACAATTGTTGCATTACCAGCTTGAGAAGATGAAAAAGAAACAGCAACAGAGTGCCATAGCTAGGCAATCTGGTGAAGAAGATTATTGGAGCAGCTACAAGTGCATCAAAACAAGCTGTGAAGATTTTTTTTATGGACAACAAATTAGCCATTGGAAAAGCCAAGAATACAGTCCATCATGAATGAAGCTCTAAGCATATTAATGAGCAGTTCTGTTTCATCAGAAGGCATACAAAATTCAAATGCAGTTGAATTAGCAACTTATATATAATTCAACAGAAACACTCACGAAAATTTTCAGAGACCGTAATTAATTCAAGTTCCAAATGAAAGAGCATGCGAACAGCAAGAAGTGTCATATAGGCTAGCAGAAATGTTGAAGGCTAAGTTCTTGTAAGGACTATAAATCCTTTTCCGTACCAAAAACCCAGAGATTGTAAAGTGAGGAGTGCAACAATCTGATAAGTGTGAATATGGGAAGCATTCAACGTGATAAGTATGGATACATGGTGTTTACAGCCTGAAAGAACAAACCCATATTACCCAATAACTAATTGTATCCCAACAAGATGGCAAAATAACTCCATCACATATATGGCTCCAACAGAATTTCTTTAAAAGAAATCACAAGGAATAATCTCATAACTTTTAATCAGAAGAAACAAGCATTTTCTAAAAACTTTATAGGCAAGTATCATCATTAGTACAAGCATATTATTCGATCATAATAGAAGTACAAGACAAAAATAAAGCATTTGCCCTTTTTTCACTGATTCAGAAGACCCCTATCTATCATTTCATGAATAAGCATCTCTGCTTTATCATTCTCATTTTTCATCAGCAGAGCTCCAACAAGTGTTGTAAATGTCACCAAATTGGGGAGGCAACCATTCTCTTTCATTCTGGAAAATAGTGTTAATGCTTCACCGAACAAGCTTTCTTTGCAAAGTCCATTTATCATAATGTTGTAAGAGTAGGCATTTAAATGATGGCCTTTAGTCATAAGATATTCAAAGATCTCTCTTGCAAAACTGAACCTACCTTCTTTGCACAAACCATTGAATAGTATACTGTAAGTGTATATTGTAGGCTGTATTTCTTGGTCGACAATTTGCCGATATAATGTAATTGCCTCGTCAAGATGATTCATTTTGCACAATGCATCCAACAAGATATTGTAGGTTATTATATCAGGAGAGAGACCATTGCGGTGCATCTCATAAACGAGATCTTTCACATGTGACATTCTCTTAGCTTTGCACAAGCCATCAATAAGGGAGTTGTAAGTGACTGTATCGGGCTGCAAAGTTTTGCAGCGCATTTCCTTAAACAAATCTAGGGCTTCATCCACCATTTTTAATTTACAATATGCATTGATCAATGTGGTGTAACTCACAACAGTAGGTGTCAAATCAGCTCTGATCATCTTATTGAACACTGCTACGGACTCATTAACATCATTCCTCATACAGTAACCATTCATCAAAGAACTAAAGGTAATAACATCAGGTTTTACAAAACATTTCATCATCTTAGCAAGGACAGATTGAGCTTCTATGGTCCTCCCCCTTTTGCAAAATGCATCAACTAGTATATTAAGAGTATAAAGATCAGGACTAATGTCTTTCATGGCTATTTCATTTAACAACCTAACAGCTTGTTGCAATTGATTGGTGATGGAGAAACCATGGATTAAAGTGTTATAGGTAACAATATCCGGAGATATTCCTCGCCTGATCATTTCAGAACACAACTTAGATGCCTCACTTACTAGCCCTTCTTTACAAAGGCCATCAATGACTGCGTTGTATATAACGACATTCGGCAGAGTTTTAATTTTCCGTGTCCCCATCATTTGGAGCAATTTGACAGCACATCTTATTTTTCCAGTTTTGCAAAGCCCACTAACTAAGGTTCCATAAGTAACTGGGCTTAAGCAAAATCCTTTTGCCAACAAGTCATCGTGAAAGTCGAGTGCTTGCCCTACATCTTTCATGCAGAGTCCTTTCATCAACGTAGTCATTGTTATAGTATTTGGTCGATAACCCCACTTGAAGGTCTTCCCCAGTGAAGAGAAAGCAGAAGGGATGTCACCCACAAGACAGTAGCAATTGATCAAAATGTTCAGTGTAACTAAAGATGGTGTGAATCCTTTCAGTTCCGCCTGGGCATAACGTGAGATAGCAGTGGTGCAGTGTTTGGTCTTTGCAAGTGATCCTAAAATCTTATTAATTTCGACAATGGAGGGCAGGGGACTCATGGAGAGCAAGCGACTGAACGAAGCTACGGAGTCTCGGAGGCTATTATTAGGGTTTGAGGAATTAGAACGCACACAAAATCGCAGATTGAGGAAGGAAGGGAAAGAAGGAAGGAAGGAAGAGGAAGAAGTTTGCAGAAAGAGACAGGATTTGGAGAAGACATACCTTGTCATAGCAGAAGAGAACGGCATCTTCAGATGAAATTAGAAGAAGAATGTTGATTGCATCAGCGCTGCTTCAGCAACGGGGAAATGTGAGAAACATAAGCTGTGAAAGAGATTCAAAGCCAAGAGACAGCGAAGGAGAAGAAGGCAGAGATGGACTGAGGAAGGTGGCCGGTGCTCAGAGTCTCCGATTTTTGGGTCGCGTGATCGGGAGAGAGAGGTATTGTAATTTTCCAAATATAATAATTAATAATGCAAACCTAAGAATAACGCAGTAGTTTCAATATTTTGTCAGTCTCTTGGATGAGGCCTTTTTTTTGTGTGTCTTATAACTTATAAGTTAACAGTTACTTTTTTAAATATGGTTATAAAAATATCTAAAACTTATTTGTGATTTATATAGAAGTAACTTTTTAAAATTAAAAGATATTTTTATCGTTATATTTATATTGTTCTTAAGCTTTTCTATATATATATTTTCTGTGTTTTCTAATTAGTTTTTAGTTATTTATTTTTAATATTATCTGAAAATAATTTTTAACAGTTTTTATAATATTTTTAATTTTTAAAATTATTTTTAATTTTATATTTACATAAAATATACAGAGTATGTTATGTAATATTATTTGATTCAAGAATTTTCACATTATTATGATTTCTAATTTAAATATACTTTATTCATTAAATATATTTTTTTCCTATTATAATAATTAAATTATTATATTTTGTAAATTCATATTTTTCATATTTTTTATTATTTAATAAAAGTAATACTCATCTTACTCCTTCTATTAGAAGTGTTCATCAAGCCCGCTAATCCAGTATGCCCGTCCGAGCCCACAAAAAAATGGCCCTGCTCAGCCCAGAAAAAACAGCCCAAAGAAAAATGGGCATTTTTGCGCTGGGCATATTACGGGCAAGGCTGGGCTGTGGGCACGGTATGCTGCCCTGCCCGTTTGGCCCTGCCTGTTATATATATATATTTATAATTCTTTTTTTCTCCAAAAATACTTATAATGATATATAATATATATAATAATATATATTATTCTCCCCTCTTCCATTTTCCCTAGATACATTTAGTAATATGCGTAATTCTTCCTTCTTAGTATCTTTTTAATGTTTTTCTAATTTGCTTTAGTATCTTTTAGTTTGTTTTCATTGTTGGTTGTCTTGTAAAGATATAAAAGCAAGCTCACTTTAGTGTTGTATTAAAAGATATATCAATTTACAACAAATCAAAGTTATTGATTTGTTGAATTTATTGTTTATTCAAGTATTTATTTCTTTATAGTTGTTATAAGATACCCTTACTTTAACTAAAAAAATTTTCACTAAGGTATCACTATTTGGACTTGAAAGACCGCCCTACCCAGCCGGTTATTGCCCAACCCAAAAATGGTTAGGACTTCTATGGGCAGGGCAGGGCAGCGGGCTGTATTTTGCAACCTGCTCATCTTTCGGGCCCGGCACCGGGCAGGAGGCATGTCCTGCCCAGTCCTGCCCTGCCCATAAACACTCCTACCTTCTACAAATTAAACTTATTTATTCAATCATAATCTAAACAATATTTTTTTTACTTTACAAACTAATTTTTATAAAAGTCAATCTAAATGCAAATCAAATTACCCAATTTAACTTTTACTTAATCTTATTTTTGCAAAAGTTACATTAAAAATAAGTTTTTTTTTTAATCACTGATCCAAAATGACTACTCAAATTTTAATCAGTTAAAGTCAGTGTTGGGGATCTAACTTTTTGTTATGAAGTAGTTTACATCTTGCACCTACAAAAAGGAAGTCTTGCTTTTCATGCATGCATTCAAAAATTCAAATTGATTCGGTAAAATCTTAATTAAAAGTTTTGAAATTGATGAGAATTTTTTTAAAAAAATACAAAAAGTTGCACGTAACAAATATTTACTGCCCATTTTTGCCAAATTTTACTATGTACTTAACCAGTTAAAATATTAAATTTTAAGTTATTATTTATTTAATCAATTTATCGCTTTTTCTTCAGTTACGCCGGAGGTATCTATAGATTTGTTATATACTACAATTATTGGTAAAAGATTTCCTAAAAACATGTTTGGTCATCACTCAAAAATACAATTAGGGGCTTTTAGTTCGTTTTCTTTTGAATCTCTTTAAAACTTTGTATTACTAGCTCTTGTGTTTAATATAAAAGTTAGATAATTAATTTATAACTATTAAAAAATTAATTAAGCTAATTATTTATAATAACTACATATTGTCTTTCCTAAGGTATCTTTATTAATTATGTATTTGAATGAATAAAAATTTCTTAATATGTATAATCACCATGGGATTAATTGGGAGGAAAATGAATAAATATTAAAAAATTAAATTTTTAATTAACTCTTATATCAACGATTGAAAATAGTATTATATTTGGTTTATAAAATTTCTTTTTTGTCCTTTATACAACTGAAATAATGGTAAGGCCGAAAGAGGATGGCGAAGGTAGGGATTAGTTGACTGATCGTATATTAAGCATCCAAGGTAGTAGATGGGAATAAGTAAATGTCACAGGAGAAACTAAAAGCATTCAGCCTTTGAACAATTTTTGTTTTTTATTTAAAATAAATAAATGCCAAATTAGGTGAAAAAAACAAAGTCATTTTTAAGCTGAACGATTATGAATTTAAACTAATTCTCATACTTAACGATTTCTAATTTGCTATTCTGATGAATACTTCTCATCAGCATATTTGTAGAAAAGCCCACAATTAGGTTAAAAAAACGTATCCTACAAATATCCTGTACTCCTCTGGTCCTATTTATAAGATACTTCCAACATATTTCACATAGATTAAGAAAAACCTTAAAATTTCATTAACCCTCATTTAAAATTTAATAATTTTTCAACTTTATTCTTATTTAATATACATTATACCTCATGTAAATAAAATCAACATAATAATAAATGAGGGGGTAAAATTGTACATCCACACAAAAAATTTCTCTCAATACCCTACAAATAGAATTAAAAAATATTTTCTCTCTCTGTCCTATAAATAGGACTAGAGGAGTATCTTTCAACAATTTATATTCTTCTTATGATTCGATTACAAATCCTATAGTTATGGATTCAGATTTTTTTTTTTTTTTAATACAAGTCATGGATTCAGATTTTAGTTCAAATTATTTAATGAAATTTTATTCGGTCAACTCACTAAAACATTTTTTATTACTAAACACAAGTGTTCTCTAATTAAAAACAATTATTTTTTTTTCCCTCCTGTTAAACTCAACCCGGTTAGTATAACTGAAACTATTATTTTGCCAGAATTTCTGATTTTTGCTTTACGGCCCCTTCCATGAATGCTTGTGTCGTGCATTTCTTCTCATCATGTGAAGTTATATGCATTATGACGATATTATTTTGGTCATATGTTAATTAAAAATGCGCCTTGATTATTAGTATCTTTATTTAGTATTTCATTAAATCGCACAATACTGTAACACAACCAAAATAAACCGTATACCTGTAAAAATAAATTACATGTTTTTTTTTTTTTTTTGGGATGCATCGCAGTGCTATCTAGGCACATTCCCTTTGCGGCCATTTTGGATAATATAAAATTTAGAAGAGAAAATTTTATTAATGTAACAATAAAGCTAAAAGTACAAATTTATCTCTACCGGTGCAATTTTATTCATGCAGCATCAATTCTGGAAACTGATCAAATATATACTGTTTGAAAACATAACCAAGTGACCAATAATTAGTACAAACAAAGAAGCCATCATTCTCTAAACAAAATAGAGCCTTTGAACTTGTTTTGCCGTGGCAGAAGACCTCTATCAATCATTTCATAAAGAAAAAATCTTGCTCTATCATTCTCATTTTTCCTCAGAAGACCTACTATAAGTGTTTCAAATGTCACAGTATCTGGGAGACAGCCATTCTCTTCCATCTTTGAAAGCAATGCCAATGCTTCATCAAACGAGCTTTCTTTGCAAAGTCCATTTATCATAATGTGGTAAGTGTAGACATCTAGATGATGGCCTTGAGTCACAAGATATTCAAAGATCTCTCGCGCAATATTTAGCCTGCCTCCCTTGCACAAACCATCGATTAGTATATTGTATGTATATATTGTAGGCTGTATTCCTTGGTCCACAATTTGTTGTTATAATGCAATTGCCTCGTCAAGATGATTCATTTTGCAAAATGCATTCAACAGGATATTGCAGGTTATTATATTAGGAGCGAGACCATTGGAACGCATCTCATAAACAAGATCTTTCACATGTGACATTCTCTTAGCTTTGCACAAGCCATCAATGAGAGAGCTGTAAGTGACTGTATTAGGCAGCAAATTTTTGAAGCGCATTTCATTAAACAGATCTAGGGCCTCATCCATCCTTCTTAATTTACAGTGCGCATTGATCAATATATTGTAATTCCAAACAGTAGGTGTCAAATCAGCTTTGATCATCCTATTGAACACTGCTATGGACTCATTAACATCATTCCTCATACAGTAACCATTCATCAAAGAACTAAAGGTAATAACATCAGGTTTTACAAAACATTTCATCATCTTAGCAAGGACACATTGAGCTTCTATGGTCCTCCCCCTTTTGCAAAATGCATCAACTAGTATATTAAAAGTATAAAGATCAGGACTAATATCTTTCATGGCTATTTCATCTAACAAGCTAACAGCTTGTTGCAATTGGTTGGTGTTGGAGAAACCATGGATTAAAGTGTTATAGGTAACAATATCTGGAGATATTCCTCGCCTGATCATTTCATAACACAATTTAGATGCCTCACGTACTAGGCCTTGTTTACAAAGGCCATCAATGACCGTGTTATATATAACGATATCGGGCAAAGTTTTAATTTTCCGTCCCCCCATCATTTGGAGCAACTTAACAGCACATCTTGTTTGTCCAGTTTTGCAAAGCCCATTAACAAAGGTACCGTAAGTAACTGAGTCTAAGCAAAAACCTTTTACCAACAGGTCATCGTGAAAGTCAAGGGCTTGCCCTACATCTTTCATGCAGAGTCCTTTCATCAACGTATTTACTGTTACGGTATTCGGCTGACATCCCCACTTGAAAATCTTCCCCAATAAAGAGAAAGCAGATGCCATGCCACCCATGTGACAGTAGCAATTGATCAAAATGTTCAGTGTAACAAAAGATGGTGTGAACCCTTTCAATTCCGCCTGTGCATAAAGTGAGATAGCAGTGGTGCAGTGTTTGGTCTTGGCAAGTGATCCTAAAATCTCATCAATTTCGACAATGGAGCGCGGGGGACTCATGGAGAGCAAGCGATGGAACGAAGCTACGGAGTCTCGGAGGCTAGTATTAGGGTTTTTGGAATTAGAATGAAAGCAAAATCGCAGATTGGAGAAGGAAGGGAGAGAAAGAAAGAAGGAAGAGGGAGAAGATTGCAGAAGGAGAGAGGATTGGGGGAAGACATACCTTGACATAGCAGAAGAGAACGGCATCTTCAGATGAAATTAGAAGAAGAATGCTGATTGCATCAACGCTGCTTCAACAAAGGAGAAATGCGAGAAACATAAGCTGTGGAAGTGAATCAGAGCCAAGAGACGGCGGAGATGGACTGAGGAGGGTCGCTGGTGCTTGCAGTCTCTGATCTTTGGGTCGTGTCGCGCGATCGGGAGAGACAGGCATGGTAATCGTAATCTCATTTTGAAAATAAACTAATTTTTGAGCCAATTTTCTAAATATGATAATTTTTTTTTGTTACAATAAATATGATAATTAATAATTAATTATGCAAACCAGTGGCAAGAGAGCCTTATCATTCCCGGGAGAACAATACCGTGCGGCTGTGCCAGGCATCAATATGAAAAAAGTAAGAAAATAATTTAAATAAATTCAATACTTAATTAATGTTTAAAATCTAAATTTAATAAATTTAAAATTGAACCTCTGGATGTTTTGAACATTCACAAAATACAAATTAAAATGTAAAATCATTCTGGTCATTATAAATAAGATATATACTTGACCAATTTAGATAAACTGAAAAAATAAAATAAATTAGTTAATTTAAACAAAATATGACATGATTGTTTCAAAATACCATTGTATAATATTAAATTATACATAATGTATATATTAATTTATGAGTTAGGAAAATTAGTTTGAAAAGATAATAAAATTAGAGAAAAATGAATTAAAATATTATATTTAAAATCAAATCTAACTGTAAAATTAACTCTTATATTATGAGTTAAAAGGAATATGAAAGAAGGTGGGATCAGATCATTTGTAACTATGGCTAGAATATTCATTCAGGAAAAAATAATTAAATCTTTTTTGGAGAAGGCCGTGACTTAATATAGTCTCATCTGAAAGAAGTTTTTTTTTTTTTTAAGCCACAGTGAAAAAAGAAACAGGAATTTTTTCTCGCTAGAGCAATATTATAACAAATAGTTAATTGACTAAAAAAATAATAAGAACCCTAATCAAAGACGAGAATTCATAAAAAAATAACACATACAAAATTTCAAACACGTGAACAAATCATGTTGAAAATTTAAAAAATAAACAAATAAACAAATGAAGGAGTTATCTTGTGGAAATTAGGAAAGGAAAAGGTAGATTAAAGTGAAGAAACTTATTTGTGAATGATTTGTGCGCAAATTTGTGTGCAAATCTAAACTCATTACAACCGTAAATAATTTTTAGTAAAAGATCTTTCTAAATCATTTCTACCACATAGCATTTCATCATGTCATGTGAAACTTATTTTTGAATTAAAACTGAAGTTGATCACCAGGTGAAATATTTCATGTTACTAATAAAAGAGAGAGAATTTGTGAATTTTTTTTTTTTTTTTGAAAACCGATATCCATTAATTCAAAAGAACAAGGCAAAACAAGTCCGCAACAACACCTGAGTTCCCTTGTCAATCACTGCTTTTGGTAAAGAGGAGGGAGTCATCAAAGATACAAAAACACCTATTAAGAGCATGTTTGGCTAAGTAATCAATAAAAGGTATCAAGAGTATGAGCATAACGACTCCTATCAAGAACATGAACAACAATTTTACTCTTGTTTGTGAGAGAGAGAGAGAGAGAGAGAGAGAGAGAGAGAGTTTCACAAGAATCTTAGAATTACAAAACAAGAATAAGTCATCAAAGATACAAAAACACCTATTAAGAGCATGTTTGGCTAAGTAATCAATAAAAGGCATCAAAAGTATGAGCATAACGACTTCTATTAAGAGCATGAACAACTTTACTCTTGTTGATGAGAGAGAGAGAGAGAAAGTTTCACAAGAATCTTAGAATTACAAAACAAGAATAACTTATTATTTATATTCCCAAAAGTATGAACAATTACAATATATTCTAGTCATTGAAAAAAGAAAAAACAACTTAAAAGCAGCATTTACACTACTGCTCAAAGAAACAATCGATTGTTGCATTACCACCTTGAGAAGATGAAAAAGAAACAGCAACAGAGTGCCATAGCTAGGCAATCTGGTGAAGAAGATTATTGGAGGAGCTACCAGTGTATCAAAACAAGCTGTGGAGATTTTTTTTATGGACAACAAATTGGCCATTGGAAAAGCCAAGAATACAGTCCATCATGAATGAAGCTCTAGGCATATTAATGAGCAGTTCTGTTTCATCAAAAGGCATACAAAATTCAGATGTAGTTGAATTGGCAACTTATATATAATTCAACAGAAACACTCACGAAAGTTTTCAGAGACCATAATTAATTCAAGTTCCAAAGGAAAGAGCATGTGAACAGCAAGAAGTGTCATATAGGCTAGCAGAAATGTTGAAGGCTAAGTTCTTGTAAGGACTATAAATCCTTTTCCGTACCAAAAACCCAAAGATTGTAAAGTGAGGAGTCCAACAATCTGATAAGTGTGAATATGGGAAGCATTCAACGTGATAAGTATGGATACATGGTGTTTACGGCCTGAAAGAACAAACCCATATTACCCAATAACTAATTGTATCCCAACAAGATGGCCAAATAAGTCCATCACATATATGGCTCCAACAGAATTTCTTTAAAAGAAATCACAAGGAATAATCTCATAACTATTAATCAGAAGAAACTAGCATTTTCTAAAAACTTTATAGGCAAGTATCATCATTAGTACAAGCATATTATTTGATCAAAATAGAAGTACAAGATAAAAATAAAGCATTTGCCCTTTTTTTCACTGATTCAGAAGTTCATGAATAAGCACCTCTACTTTATCATTCTCATTTTTCATCAGCAGAGCTCCAACAAGTGTTGTAAATGTCACCAAATCGGGGAGGAAACCATTCTCTTTCATTCTGGAAAATACCGTCAATGCTTCACCAAACAAGCTTTCTTTGCAAAGTCCATTTATCATAATGTTGTAAGAGTAGGCATTTAAATGATGGCCTTTAGTCATAAGATATTCAAAGATCTCTCTTGCAAACCTGAACCTACCTCCTTTGCACAAACCATCGATTAGTATATTGTATGTATATATTGTAGGCTGTATTTCTTGGTCGACTATTTGTCGATATAATGTAATTGCCTCGTCAAGATTATTCATTTTGCAAAATGCATTCAACAAGATATTGCAGGTTATTATATTAGGAGCGTGACCATTGGAACGCATCTCATAAACAAGATCTTTCACATGGGACATTCTCTTAGCTTTGCACAAGCCATCAATAAGAGAGCTGTAAGTGACTGTATCAGGCAGCAAATTTTTGAAGCGCATTTCATTAAACAGATCTAGGGCCTCATCCATCCTTTTTAATTTGTTAAAAAAATTCCTCGGGATATTTCTATTCATGACTCCCAAATACAATTGGGGGCTTTTCTAGCAACATACTATACATGGGAAAAGGAATTTTTAAAATACTACACAATGGAAATTATTCATCAAGATACAGCGTTCAAAATCGTTCATTATGAGAACGAATTTAAATATATATAAATAAATTGTTCAACTTAAGATTTTAGTTTCTAATATGACATTTACTTGCTTCCTTGTGGCTTTCTTTCATGCTTCGTGCATTTGTCGTCTAAGAATACTTTGTTCTTCTTTATGAGAAATTCTTATAAAAAAATTCATTGTTTATATGTCTTCTTCTCACAGTTTTTGTTAATATTTCATATTAATTTAAAATTTATCTAGGTAGGGCCATCTTCTTTTGGACCCTAATTATTTGCAAATTAGGAGCATAAGTCTTACCATAAAAATGTTTTCAAAAAATAGACTCACCATAATTAATTTGCAACAAAAAAAAAAAGAAATCCCAGCAGCTCAATTTTTCCAATGATCACTCAGGTGATGGCTTATTTCTACTTTTCTATTAATGGGTTTTGATGTTTTTACTTTATACTTCTTGGTTTTCTGATTTCGCGTGAAGTATATTGTTTTGGTCCGCCAGTTGCTCGATCTTTTTTAATGATTTGTATTTATCTCATTTCGGTTATCTAGGCCATAGATCCATGTATATTTTTACAAACAGATGCACGCATAAATTAGTAGCATATGTCAAAGAATTTAGTTAAATCATTGTGAAAATTTTCTCTGTTTTTTTTTTCTTTTTATTTGGTTGCAAATTAATTATGGGGAAGTTAAAAGAGGATGGCCATCTATAATGATTCATTTGGTATGAGAAAAATAGAGGGAAAAAGATGATAGGAAAAATTTTAATGACTGATTCAAAAAATTGAAAATGTGGAGTTTAAAGCTTTTAATCAATTTTTCTTACTTTTTAATCTTACATATTCTCTTTATCAAAATTTTATAGTTTCACTTCTTTAATTTTTTTTAAATTAAAGTCATTAAAATTTTTGTGTCCTTTCCTTTCCTTCCAAATCTCTTATACCAAACATAGGGTGCATGTCTTTTTTTGTTTTTTTATGGCAAGAGTTTTCTTTTAAAAAAATAATGGTATGTACTATGAATTTGCAAATTATTAGGGACCAAAAGAGAATGACTATAAATAGATAAACTTTAAATTAGTTGCAAAAATTGACCAAAAAAAAAAGGAAGAGGAAGACGCATGAACTGTGGTTCTTACAGGAATTTCCCATAGAGAATAAAAGGTTTTCTTGGAGGCTAGAAGAAGAAAGTATGAAAGAAAGCTAAAAAGAAGTAAGTAAATGTCATATCAGGAACTAAAATCGTTCAGCATTTGAACGCTTTTAGTTTTCTATTTAAAAAGAAGTAAATGTTAGATTAGATAAGAAGCGTAAATGTCAGAGTTTTTTTGGCCAACGTAAATGTTAGATTAGATAAGAAGCAAGTTGTTCTTAAGTTAAACGATTTGTTTGTAAATTTAAACACGTTTTTATAATCACTGACCAGTATTTTGATAAAGACTTCCACCACGTAATGATTTGATAATTTCTTGTATGTTACGTTTGAATGGAGAGATAATTAGGGAGCGAAAAAAAGTAGGAAGAAAAATAGGGGAGAAGTAGGTTTTTCTTTGTTTGGATGGGGGATAAAAAGTGGAAAGAAAGAAAAGTTAGGAAGAAAATAAGGTTAGTTTCACATCCCATTTTTCTTCTAACTTTTCTCTTCACATATAAAGAGAAAATGAGAAGAAAACATATCATCTGTTTTTCAACAAAATAATACCTATTTAATTTTTTATTTTTTACTTTATTTGTTATTTTCATGTCTTCCTCCTATGTTTGTTTGATTGAACATTAAAACAATTAAAATTGCAAAAATATTTCTAAAACAAACTGAAAGGAAAAACACAGAGGTATTGTTTGAGTTTTTTCCAAGCATTACACAAATGTTATTTTTCTTCTAGAAGGAAAACAATTTTTTTTTTACAAAATTACTTGAGATTAAAATATAATAACATGATAATATATCTTTATCAAATAATTTGATTTTAAATGATCTGACGATGTTAATTTTTTTTTCAATATGATATTTAATTTTATTTTAATCATGATATATTTTGATATAAAAATAAGGGCATTTGAGTTATACATATGTTTGCTCATTTTCTTTTCTCTCTTTTTTCTCTCTCATCCGTCCAAATAGGAGGAGTGATAATTTTTTTTTCTTATTTTTTTTCCTCTCAACTTTTCTTTTCATCTAAACGGAGGGTTATTGCTTCCAGCATATTGGTAGAAAAACCTATAATTATGTTAACGAACATAACTTATAAATATCCTATACCCCTTAACAATATAAGTTCTCACAAATCACAATTCGATTTTAATTTAAATTAATCCTTAATATCCTCCCTCCTCCCTTTTCTATTTAATTATAGTTGAGGAAGTATCAATAGAAATAATTTAAAAAAAACTAATAAATATAAAAAATAAGTCTTATATTTAGGATCAACATAAATTCAACGATTAGTTCTTAGGAGATTTCATGAATGATTGAGTGATGCAGTTCTGCTAATCTTGCGAAGTTATATACATGACCATATTATTTGGTCATATGTTAATTAAAAATATAACTTATTTGATTATTTGTACCATTATTAGTATTTATTAAACATCACAATGTTACAAGATAGACAAAATAAAACTCAATGCCTGTGAAAATATGCTAGATGTATTTTCTGGATGCACCAGTATGCTTGCGGCCCTTTTCTCTGGGAATCAAGGAACAAAAAACCAGACCAGAGACTAAACCGGTCAAGATAGTGGATCAAGGGTCACTGGTCAAACCAGGGGTCAGACCGGTCATATTAAAATAATATAATTTAATTCATAATATTAAAATAGAACAAAATTCATAAATAATAAATAGCAAGTTTCAAAAAACTAGACTAGATATTAAACCAGCTACAATTAAAGTAATATAATTTAATTAAAAATTTACAAACATGTTTATATTTACTCATAAAAAATAATATTTAAATAAACAACGTATTAATTGAATTGATTTAAAAACTAATAATTCAAGTAAAATTTCCCAATGCCTCAAGCCTAAGCATAATATAGGCCGTGCATTGATGACCAGGCTTGGTGCTGATTTGAAGCAGATGCACAGTGGAACTTTTTGACTTTCCATCTCCCTATGTGAAGCCTTGGGAACTTGCGTTTTTACTTTTTAATTAACAAATGGCTTCTTCTTCGTTTCTCAAATTCTTCTGCTCCTCGGCGTCTCTCTCTCTCACTAGACCAAAGGTAAAAATGCTGTCATTACAGATCAAGAAGCTTTGCTATCATTACAGATCAAGAAACTTTGATTATTGGAGGCTATACACATTTCATATCTCAATCTCACTCACAAGTCACGGCTGGAACACAAAACAGAAGCACGAAGGAAAAAGCAGAGCACATTGAGCTGAAGGAAAATAACTAACCAGAAAACAAGAGCACAGAAGCTGAACGAGTAGAAGGAGAATAAAGAACCTGCCGCGGTGGAGAAGAAATGACGATAGGAAGCAACGAGGAGCTGTTGCTGTGGCCTGATTGAAGAACTCCTGCTAGCTGCTGCTTCGACCAGGAGACGTCATGTAAAGACCGACGACCTTTGACGGCGAAGAAAACGGCGGCTACAATTAGGGTGGATTTTGGCTAGGGATTTCGATCTGGGGGGAAGAATGAAAATGGCGAAGCTGAAAGCTGAGTTGCCTTTGCCCTTCGATAAGTTGTATGTTAATTTTTTTTTTTTCAAAATTTCTTCAACCTGAAACGGCATCGTTCCACAGCTGAAGGTTAAAAAAAATAAAAAACTTCAAACCGGGCAACCCATCAACCCAATGGTTGCCCGGTTTTGATCGGTTGAGCCGGTTTTTTACCGGTCCGTTCACCTAGCGGTTTTTCTATCAAACCAGACCGAACCAAACACCGGTTTACCAGTTTTCCGGTTGAACCGGCCGGTCCGGTTTGGTTTTTTTTTTCCTTGTTGGGAATGCATCCCTATGTAGGGCATATTACAAATTTGCATGTTTTGATAATATAAAATTCAAAAGAAAACCAATAGAAATTGAGTTTAACATAAGGAACTAATCCTTCACATTATAACAAACTAATATTCAAATCTCTATTAAAAAGATACCCATATTTAATACATGATAATAAAGCAATCTTCATGTAATATCCTAAATTAATTTTTAGGATTTGTGTAAAAAAAAAAAAAATATTTTTTTATTATAATAAAATAATAATATTTGTAAAAAAAAAAGTCAAACTAGTTGGGGGTTGGGTTTGAAAACCCCCCTTAATAAATATGTGGGAGTGTTAAAATAACCCCCCACACTTTCGTTTTGGCCCAGCGCAGGAGAGGGGAAAAAAAGAAAGAAAGAGATATTAGAGTGTGCATGAGATAGATGAGCATACTGGTGAAAGAGAGGGTGAGTTTTAAAGATATTTTAGGTATATAAAATTACTTCTTTTTATCAAACTTTCTTTATGAATATTTCCTGTATATTTTAAGCTTCCTATTTACATTATTACTATAGTGATTGGAGAAAATTTTGAGACTTATATATGATATAAGTATTGAGCTTTGATGAAAAGATTACTATAGAAATTTAGAAGTAAATGAGTTGTTAATTTTAATCGGTTTAGATTTGTCTATTTGTTAGTTTTAGTATTTAAATTAATTTATTTAGTTGAAAATCTGTTATTTATGGGACATGCCATATTCTTACTGATTAAATTTAAGTTAAATAATTTATTTGAGTTGTTTGACATATTATTGAGATTTTAATTGGTTTAATTTTATTTATTGGGTGACTGGAGGTTTTAAAATAATTATTGCATCTAAAAATTTTGTATACTGATGCTTCTAAGAAGGGTCTTGGGGCTGTATTAATGCAAAAGGGTAAGGTAGTTGCTTATGCTTCTCGACAATTGAGGCCGCATGAAGAAAACTACCCTACTCACGACTTGGAATTGGCAGCAGCCGTATTTGCATTGAAGATTTGGAGGCACTATCTCTATGATTCGCAGTTTGAAATTTTTAGCGACCATAAGAGTTTGAAGTACTTGTTTGATCAAAAAGAACTTAACATGAGACAAAGAAGGTGGATGGAGTTTCTTAAGGATTATGATTATGAGCTAAAGTATCATCCAGGGAAGGCAAACGTTGTAGCAGATGCCTTAAGTAGAAAATCTATCCATGCAGCCCAATTGATGGTCAAGGAGTGGAACCTGCTGCAGGATGTGCAAAGTACACCTATTGATATAATGTCTGGGTTAGTTGCTACCATGAAAGCACTAACCATTGAGAGTGCAACTTGGAAGGAAATTAAAATTGCCCAATTAGAGGATGAGTATCTACTAGGGATTAGGGAAGAAGTTGAACAAGGAAAAGAGTCAAAGTTTAATATTAGTGAAGATGGGATACTAAGATATAAAACAAGGGTGTGCCTCCCCAATGATAAAGAGTTAAAGAAGCTACTACTTGATGAAGCTCATAGAAGCAAATATACTATCCACCCTGGAGTGACCAAAATGTACCATGATCTAAAACGAAACTGGTGGTGGCCTAGTATGAAGAAAGATATAACTGAGTTTGTCTCTCGTTGTCTAACTTGCTAGAAGGTCAAGATTGAATACCAGAAGCCCCCAGGACTATTGCAAAATCTAGAGATTCCAGAATGGAAGTGGGATAGTATTTCCATGGACTTTATCACAGGTCTTCCTAGAACTCAATCAGGGCATGACGCTATTTGGGTGATTGTTGACAGATTGACTAAATCAGCTCATTTCCTAGCCATCAAGACAAATTACTCTTTGGAAAAGCTAGCACAGATCTATGTGAAGGAGATTGTTCGATTACATGGCACACCAAAGAGTATCATATCAGATCAAGATCCACGATTCACTTCAAGGTTTTGGAGATTGTTGCAGGATGCCATGGGAACATGGTTGAGGTTTAGCACCGCCTATCATCCCCAAACTGATGGACAAACAGAGAGAACTATTCAGACTCTTGAGGACATGTTAAGAGCTTGCGCAATGGAATTAAAAGGAAATTGGGATGATCACCTTCCTTTAGCAGAGTTTGCTTCCAATAATAGCTTCCACTCAAGTATTCAGATGGCGCCTTATGAAGCATTGTACGGAAGAAAGTGTAGATCTCCACTTTGTTGGACAGAGTTGAGTGAGAGAAGTTTGATAGGTCCAGAACTGGTGGATTACACAACTCAGAAGATTAAGATGATACAACAGAAGTTGCTTACTGCCCAAAGCAGACAGAAAAGTTATGCAGATAGGAGAAGACAACCATTGGAATTCATGATAGGAGACCATGTATTTCTAAGAGTCACACCGATGACGAGTATTGGAAGATCAATTCGAGCAAAGAAACTCACTCCCCGTTTCATAGGTCCTTATGAACTTTTGGAGAGAGTAGGACCAGTGGCTTATAGAATTGCCCTACCTCCACAACTGACCAATATTCATAATGTATTTCACGTGTCACAACTCAAGAAGTACCACCCAGATCTATCTCATGTGATTGAGCCTGAAGAGATCGAGTTACAAGAGAATCTTACTTTCAAGGCCGAACCTGAACTCATTCTGGAAGCTAAGGATAAGCAACTTTGGAATAAAACTATTCGGTTACTTAAGGTTTTCTGGAAAGGAATGTCTCCTGGGGATGCTACTTGGGAAACCGAAGAGCGAATGCGGCGTGATTTTCCTAACTTGTTTGATTAGGAAGAGTTAGTATCATGTTGGTTTTGGTGATTGTATTATGGTATACTTGTATTGTACTTATTGTACTTGTGTTGTGCTCTTGATGTGTAGTATAGATATTTGTAATTGTGTCTGCTGCTTGAAGTAAATTCTTTCTCTTTTCATGTATCGAATTTTGGGGACAAAATTCTTTTTAGGTGGGAAGAATTGTAACGTACTGTTAAAAAAAATCAAAATCAATTAATTAAAATAATATAATATTATATTATTATTTAAAAAAAACAATACCCAACTTTTCCACCGAAGTCGGTGGAAAAGCTGGGCATAGTCAACAATAAAGAAAGAAGAGGCGCAAGAAGTAAATGGAGGAAGAAATAAGGGGTGGCATTAAATTGAAGAAGGAAAAAATAGGGGATGGGGTAGTTAGATGGTGAAGGAAAATAGATAGGGGATGGGGTAGTTAGATGGTGAAGGAAAATAGGATAAAAGAGGGGGAGAGGAGACGGAGGAGGAAGAGAGATCGAAGGAAGAGAGAAGAGAGTGAGAATCAAAGAGGGAAAGAGAGAGAAAGCTAAGTTGCAGAGCACCTGACAAGTTTTGAGAATTATTTAGGTACACAAAACTACTTCTTTTTATCAAATTTCCTTTATGAATATTTCCTATATATTTAGAACTTTATATTATTAGTATCATTATAATGTTTAGAGAAAATTTTATTGTTTGGGTATAGGGTAAATATAGAGTTTTGACAATATATGACCGTAGAAATTTAAAGATACATTATTAAGAAATTTTAATCGGTTTATTTTTGTTGAATGATTATTTTGAGAATTTTAAACTAAGATTTTAGTTGATAAGTTTGTTATTTAGACTTGTAATATGTTTTTACCGATCAAATTTGAGTTAAATAATTTATTTGAGTTATTTAATATATTATTGAGGTTTTAATCGGTTTAAATATTGAATAAGTTAAATATATATTTTTGAAATAATTTTTAAAGGCTTGAAAAATTATAAATTGAGAATTTTATAAAATTAAATAAAGCTACAGTTTGTTTATAATTAAAAATATATATATACTTTTGTTAAATTTAAATAGCCTTATATGTAAATTATTTTTCAAAATAATATCTATTATAAATGCCTAGATTTGGGAGAATTAATATATTTATGTAATTTTGGTTTAGAGGGTAGTCTTAGAATTTTAGAGTAGTTTTGGAGTAGTTTTGAGTTTGTGTTAATAAATATTTATGTGCAATTTTGTAGACTTGAGAATTTTGGAGTAATCTTTGTGTGAATATTTGTAAGCTAAAGAGTACCAGGTCATTCTGAAAATTCTTTCTTGTAGATGTGAGTTGTGTATGATTATATTGTGGATTTACTAATTTTTATATCATACTGAAAAGTAGTATTATGATTTCAAATAAATGTTTTGATATGTTATTTGATTTTGTTAAGATTTATTGCTATTAATTATGATCAATGTTTAAATATATTGATGACCAAGGAATTGTCAGGAGTTGCTATTAAATGGTATATAAGTTTTATTGCTATCTTATCTTTAAAATATTTGAGGACGTATTTATGATGTAACATTATTGGCATCTGACATGCATTGTTGGGCTAAGGATAGAAGGAAATTGTGGATGGCACTTGTCAGGGCCCCTTCTTCCATGTTTTCCTTTGACTGGGAATTCATTGGAGCTGTGAGACATGTGACACCTCCCTATTCACAAAGGAGGGGAGCCATAGTCCGAGTTTGAGCTCTATAACTTTGGTCGGCTATATCTCTTGTATCGGTGAGCTTGGAATAATTCAGTAAAATGGATTTGTTCCTATCGAACTATGTGTTAACCTATGGCTGTGGACGGTGATATAAGGGAGGCAGCATATTGCATTATTTTTGGATATATTGGAAAAAAATGAAATTGAATTGAATGTATCAAATCTGTGATTTTTAATATATACATATATACAGACCTATAAATAGATTTTTGGTTTATCATATATGGTTTGCTTGTATAGGTTAGAATTTCAGCAGTTACTGAGACGTTTGATCTCATCTCCTATCTTAACAATTTTCAGGCGAAGGATATAGTAGGAATCAAGGGAAGGTACCAGTGGAGTGAGCCGTGAAGGCTTTTGTATTCCTCAACACATGCTATGTTATATTTTTATTTGTTATGACTATAAGACTTTAATAGTTTATGTTGTTAAGTTATGTTAGAAATGTTTTGAAATTTTGACTTAATTGCAGTATTAAAAATATGTATGAAGTTTTAAATTGAATATTTTATTACATATATTGATATAATTACGTGAGGTGTTACATTCATCATCTTAGCAAAAACAACTTGAGCTTCTATGGTCTTGCCTCTTTTGCAAAATGCATCAATAAATATGTTAAAGGTATGCTGGGTAGGAGTGATGCCTTTTATGACTATTTCATTTAGCAACCTAATAGCTTCTTGCAACTGGCTGGTGTTAGAGAAACCACAGATTAAAGTGTTGTAGGTAACAATATTAGAAGATATTCCTCCCCTGATCATTTCAGAACACAACTTAGATGCCTCATTTACTAAGCCTCCTTTACAAAGGCCATCAATGACTGCGTTGTATATGACGACATCGGGCACAATTTTAATTTTCCGTCCCCCCATCATTTGGAGCAACTTAACAGCACATCTTGTTTGTCCAGTTTTACAAAGCTCGTTAACTAAGGTACCATAACTAACTGGGTTTAAACAAAATCCTTTTGCCAACAGATCATCGTGAAAGTCAAGGGCTTGCCCCACATCTTTCATGCAGAGTCCTTTCATCAACGTATTAACTGTTACGGTATTCGGTTGATAACCCCACTTGAAAATCTTCCCCAATAAAGAGAAGGCAGAAGTGATGTCACCCACAAGACAGTAGCAATTGGTCAAAATAGTTAGTGTAACTAAAGATGGTTTGAATCCTTTCAATTCCGCCTGCGTAGAAAGCGAGATAGCAGTGGTGCAATGTGTGGCCTTTGCAAGTGATCCTAAAATCTTATTAATTTCGACAACGGAGGGCGGCGGACTCAGGGAGAGTAAGCGATGGAACGAAGCTACGGAGTCTCGGAGGCTACTAGGGCTTGCAGAATAAGAATGCACACAAAATCACAGATTGAGGAAGGAAGGGAGAGAAGGAAGGGAGGAAGAGGGAGAAGATTGCAGAAAGAGAGAGGATTTGGGAAAGACATACCTTAACATAGCAGAAGAGAACGGCATCTTCAGATGAAATTAGAACAAGAATGTTGATTTCATCGAAGCTGCTGCAGCAAAGGGGAAATGCGAGAAACATAAGCCGTGGAAGTGATTCAAAGCCAAGAGACAGCGAAGGAGAAGAAGGCGGAGATGGACTGAGGAAGGTGGCCGGTGCTTCGAGTCTCCGATTTTTGGTCGCGTGGTCGGAGGTATTGTAAATAAGAATAATGCATTATTTTCAATATATTGTCAGCCTCTTGGATGAGGCTTTTTCTTGTATCTTATTTATGAGATAAAAATTATTTTTTTAAATATGACTATAAAAGCATCTAAAATTTTTATAATTTATGTAAAAATAATTTTTTGAAATTAAAAGATATTTTTATCGTTATATTTATATTGTTCTTAAATTTTTTTCTATATATTCTCTGTGCTTCGTAATTAGTTTTTAGTTATGTATTTTTAATATTTCTTAAAAATAATTTTTAACATTTTTATAATATTTTTAATTTTATATTTATATAAAGTATGCATAGTATATCATCTAATTAGTTATATAATATTATTTAGTTCAAAAATTTTTACATTATTATAATTTCTAATTTAAATATACTTTATTCATTAAATATAATTTTTTCCTGTTATAATAATTAAATTATTACATTTTGTAAATTCATATTTTTTATATTTTTTATTATTTAATAAAAGTTATACTCATCTTAATTCTTCTACAAACTAAACTTATTTATTCCATTCTAATCTAAATAATTTTTTTAACTTTACAGATTAATTTTTATAAAAGTCAATCTAAATAAAAATTAAATTGTCTAATTTAACTTTTATTTAATCTTCTTTTTGTAAAAGTTATATATTTATATTGTTCTTAAATTTTTTCTATATATTCTCTGTGCTTCGTAATTAGTTTTTAGTTATGTATTTTTAATATTTCTTAAAAATAATTTTTAATATTTTTATAATATTTTTAATTTTTATTATATAAAGTATGCATAGTATATCATCTAATTAGTTATATAATATTATTTAGTTCAAAAATTTTTACATTATTATAATTTCTAATTTAAATATACTTTATTCATTAAATATAATTTTTTCCTGTTATAATAATTAAATTATTACATTTTGTAAATTCATATTTTTTATATTTTTTATTATTTAATAAAATTTATACTCATCTTAATTCTTCTACAAACTAAACTTATTTATTCCATTCTAATCTAAATAATTTTTTTTAACTTTACAGATTAATTTTTATAAAAGTCAATCTAAATAAAAATTAAATTGTCTAATTTAACTTTTATTTAATCTTCTTTTTGTAAAAGTTATACTAAAAATAAGTTTTCTTTTTTAGTCGTTGATCCAAAATGACTACTCAAATTTTAATCAATTAAAGTCAGTGTTGGGGATCTAACTTTTTGTTACCAAGTAGTTTATATTTTTCACTTACAAAAAGGAAGTCTTGCTTTTCATGCATGCATTCAAACTTCAAATTGATTGGGTAAAATCTTAATTAAAAGTTTTGAAATTGATGAGAATTTAAAAAAAAAAAATACAAAAGCTGCACGTAACAACTATTTACTGCCCATTTTTGCCAAATTTTACTATGCACTTGACCAGTTAAAATATTAAATTTTAAGTTATTATTTAATCAATTTATCGCTTTTTCTTTAATTAGGCTTGTAGTATCTATAGATTTGTTATATACTACAATTATTGGTAAAAGATTTCCTAAAAACATGTTTGGTCATCACTCAAAAATACAAGTAGGGGCTTTTTGTTCGTTTTCTTTTGAATCTCTTTAAAACTTTGTATTATTACTTCTTGTGCTTAATATAAAAGTTAGATAATTAATTTATGAATATTAAAAAAATTAATTAAGCTAATTATTTATAATAACTACATGTTGTCTTTTCTAAAATATCTTTATTAATTATGTATTTGAATGAATGAAAATTTCTTAATATGTATAATCATCATAGGATTAGTTGGGAGGAAAATGAATAAATATTAAAAAGAAAATTAAATTTTTAATTAACTCTTGTATCAACAACTAAAACTAGTATTATATTTGTTTTATAAAAATTTTTTGTACTTTATACAACTAAAATAATGGTAAGGCCAAAAGACGATGGCCAAGGTAGGGATTAGTTGACTCATCTTATATTAAGGGAGTGATTGGGTAAAAATAAAATCATAGTTTCAGAAGTGTTTTTACGGCATACGAAGTAAATATATACAGGAATTTGTCACAATTTGTTAAAAAAGTAATTCTGAAAAGTAATTATGGGGTTATCCAAACACCCCCTAAGCATCCAAGGCAGTAGATGGGAATAAGTAAATGTCACGGGAGAAACTAAAAGCATTCAGCCTTTGAACAATTTTTGTTTTTTATTTAAAAATAAATAAATGCCAAATTACGTGAAAAAAACAAATTCATTTTTAAGCTGAACGATTTGTTTCTAAATTTAAACTAATTCTCATACTTAACGATTTCCAATCTGCTATTCTGATGAATACTTCTCATCAGCATATTTGTAGAAAAGCCCACAATTAGGTTAAGAAACGTGCCCTACAAATATCCTATATCTTTTAGCAATTTATATTCTTCTTATGATTCGATTACAAATCCTTTAGTTATGGATTCAGATTTTAGTTCAAATTATTTAGTGAAATTTTATTCAGTCAAGTCACTAAAATTTTTTTTATTACTAAATATAAGTGTTCTCCAATTAAAAGCAATTATATTTTTTTTTCCTGCTAGACTCAATCCCATTAGTGTGTCTGAAACTATTATTTTGCCAGAACTTCTGATTTTTGCTTTACGGCCCCTTCCATGAATGCTTGTGTCGTGGAGTTCTGCTGATCATGTGAAGTTATATGCATTATGACGATATTATTTTGGTCATATGTTAATTAAAAATGTGCCTTGATTATTAGTATCTTTATTTAGTATTTCATTAAATCCCACAATACCGTAACACAGCCAAAATAAACCGTATACCTGTAAAAATAAATTACATGTATCTTTTGTTTTTTGGATACATCGCAGTGCTATCTAGGCATATTCCCTTTGCGGCCATTGTGGATAATATAAACTTTAGAAGAGAAAATATTATTAATGTAACAACAAAGCTAAAAGTACAAATTTATCTCTACCGGTGCAATTTATTTATGCAGCATCAATTCTAGAAACTGATCAAACATATACTGTTTGAAAACATAACCAAGTGACCAATAATTAGTACAAACAAAGAAGTCATCATTCTCCAAACAAAATAGAGCCTTTGAACTTGTTTTGCCGTGGCAGAAGGCCTCTATCAATCATTTCATAAAGAAAAAGTGTTGCTCTATCAATCTCATTTTTCCTCAGAAGACCTACTATAAGTGTTTTAAATGTCACAGTATCTGGGAGACAGCCATTCTCTTCCATATTTGAAAGCAATGTCAATGCCTCACCGAACAAGCTTTCTTTGCAAAGTCCATTCAACATAATGTTGTAAGTGTAGACATTTAGATGATGGCCATTGGTCAAAAGGAATTCAAATATCTCTCGCGCAATGTTTAGCCTGCCTCCCTTACACAAACCATCGATTAGTATATTGCATGTGCGCACTGTAGGTTGCATTCCCTGACTGACAATTTGCTGATATAATGCAATCACCTCATCAAGAAGTTTTGTTTTGCAAAATGCATCCAACAAGATATTGCAGGTTATTATATTAGGAGCGTGACCATTACAACGCATCTCATAAACAAGATCTTTCACATGTGACATTCTCTTAGCTTTGCACAAGCCATCAATAAGGGAGTTGTAAGTGACTGTATCGGGCTGCAAACGTTTGCAGCGCATTTCCTTAAACAAATCTAGGGCTTCATCCATCCTTTTTAATTTACAGAGTCCATTGATCAATATATTGTAATTCCAAACAGAAGGTGTCAAATCAGCTCTGATCATCTTATTGAACACTGCTATGGACTCATTAACATTATTCCTCATACAGTAACCATTCATCAAAGAACTAAAGGTAATAACATCAGGTTTTACAAAACATTTCATCATCTTAGCAAGGACAGATTGAGCTTCTATGGTCCTCCCCCTTTTGCAAAATGCATCAACTAGTATGTTAAAAGTATAAAGATCAGGACTAATGTCTTTCATGGCTATTTCATTTAGCAACCTAATGGCTTCTTGCAATTGGTTGGTGTTAGAGAAACCACAGATTAAATTGTTGTAGGTAACAATATCAGGAGATATTCCACGCCTGATCATTTCAGAACACAACTTAGATGCCTCACTTACTAGCCCTTCTTTACAAAGGCCATCAATGACTGCGCTGTATATAACGACATTCGGCACAGTTTTAATTTTCCGTCCCCCCATCATTTGGAGCAACTTAACAGCACATCTTGTTTGTCCAGTTTTGCAAAGCCCATTAACTAAAGTAACATAAGCAACTGGGCTTAAGCAAAATCCTTTTGCCAACAAGTCATCGTGAAAGTCTAATGCTTGCCCAACATCTTTCATGCAGAGTCCTTTCAACAACGTACTAACTGTTACGGTATCCGGTTGATAACCCCACTTGAAGATCTTCCCCAGTGAAGAGAAAGCAGAAGTGACGTCACCCACAAGACTGTAGCAATTGATCAAAATGTTCAGTGTAACTAAAGATGGTATGAATCCTTTCAATTCCGCCTGCGCAGAAAATAAGATAGCAGTGGCGCAATGTGTGGTCTTTGCAAGTGATCCTAAAATCTTATTAATTTCGACAATGGAGGGCGGGGGACTCATGGAGAGCAAGCGATTGAACGAAGCTACGGAGTCTCCGAGGCTATTCGGATTTGGGGAATTAGAATGAAAGCAAAATCGCAGACTGAGGAAGGAAGGGTGTGAGAGAAGGAAGGTGGGTCGAAAGAATCGTATAAAACGAGGAGATTTAGCGAAGACATACCTCGAACTCGAAGGGGCAGTTGAGAACATCTTCAGATGAGATTGGACGAACAAATGTTGGACGCCTGCTGATTTACCGAAGGGGAAATGCGAGAAACATATGCGGATTGCTAGAAGTAGGGATTAGGGAATGGAATTTCAAATTTCAATTATTCTTTTTCAAATGGATCAGTTTAGAGCTGAGAATCAGGACCGGCCCTTCAGGGCTGGTGGGCTTAAAAGGGTCGGCTCTCCAGGACTGAAATTTTAAAAATATCCCAATTTGCTAGGCCCGGCCCTTAAGCTACAGGGCCAGGGCCGGCCCGCGGGCTTTTGGCCCGTTTAAGAAAAAATACTATTTTTTATATTTATCATATTTTTTTATAAAAATATAAAAATAAACCAATGAAATTATTAATAAAAGACATAAATATGAATAAAATTAAGTCACAAATATAAAATATCATCTTATATAAATATTCATCAACATCTAAGAACATCTAAAACATTCATTAACAAGATAACAATATCTAAAAGTTTTATCTATAATGCAATTGTGCAATAAATAAACACTATCATTAATCTTTTGAAACTTCATCATCATTATAATTAATTATTTTTCTTCATAAGTATACTTTTCTTTCGTAACAAAAATATCAAGTTTTTCTTCTTTATAAGAATTTTATTTTTAAATTTTGCAATCTAACTATTATTTTACTTTAATGTGAGAAACATTGTTGTTGAAACTCATGAATTTCTAATTCAAATTATAGAATCACAAGTTATATAAGTATAAAAATATTCTATTATCAAATATATATATAGTTTAAAAATATCAACGCATATAATATAAATAAAATCATTATTAAAATCCAAATTAACCCATTTTTTAAAAATTTAATTGGATAAATTATTGTCTAAAACTAAATTTAATTTTAAAATGATAATAATAACTAAATATTTGAAATATTATTAACAATGTAAAAAATTAATAACATTAATATTATATAAAAAAATTTAAAAAGTAAAAAAATTATAAAAGGGCTTCAAAGGGTCGGCTCGCGGCCTTCCAAGGCCAGTCCTCCAAGGTTTATTTCTCATTTTAAGAGAAAAATATCAAACCCGGCCCTCATAATTTCAGGGCCTAAATGGGCCGGCCCGACGGGCTTGGTCCGTTTTTCCGGCTCTAGATCAGTTTCATAGGCGCCCATCCCAGCATTTGGTCCTGCTTTTTTTGCTTTTCTTTTCCAAAATAATTTTTTATAAAATTACTTTTAAAAACAAGTTTTAAAAATAAGAAGACAAAAAAATACGTTCAAATAATTGTTCTAACAAATTACATTTGAAAATAAATCAACGGAAAAGAAAGAGTTTCCCAATTTTCTCAAACAAAAAGTAAAAATTGTTGTTGTTTCTTAGTTTTTAAAAACAGGTTTTTGTTTTTTTTTAAGAAACACTTAACGATAAATAAATAGCCAAAAAAATTTTGTTTTCAAAATAAGAAAACAAACAAGCCCATATATCATTTTGTATTTTAATCCTCTTGTCGGTTTAAAAGTGACAAATGATTTTGAGGAGAAAAAAAAAGTCAAGATATTTACTCCAATACTTTTACATCATAATTTAATAGTTAATATATATTTTAATTCAAAGGTGGTGTTGGGTAGAATCAAGTCAAAAGGTTAATATGTTTTAGCTAACGTTCATTCTGATTTTAAGATTCCACCTCCATTAGCTTAGTATTAATTCCTGAACTTTTATTTTGTAAATCGTTTTTTAATTATTGGAGAGAAAACCAGAAGGAGGAAAAAAAATAAAATGAGGAAAAATAGAAATGCGAGAAAAGTTGGTTGATAGTATTATCCTTCTTCTGTTTGGACAGAAAAGAGAAAGAGAGGAGATAAAATACATGACATTTAGAATGGAAATAATACGGTTATTTTTATTTTCAACTCATTTTTAAGGAACGTCAAGAGAAATAAACCATCAAATAAAAGGCTAAAGTCAAATTAAAATAAAATTATTTTATATATTTTATTGGAAAATCAAGATATTGAGAAAAACATTTCCTCAAAGAATAAAATAATAAAAAGAAAAGTTAAGGTGCATTCAACACTCCAAAATATTTTCTCATATGTATCCAACACTCTAAAGTATTTTATATGTATCCAGCACTCTGAAATATTTTTTAGGAGAACCTAGCACCCTGAATTTTTTTTTGCCTTGACGCTGGATGGACTAAAAAATATTTTTGGATACTGGATATATCTAAAAAAAATACTTTGAAATGTAGGATGCACTTAAAAATATTTTACGGCACTGGACGCACCTAAAAAAATACCTCAGAATATTAGATGCACCACAAAATATTTTAAGATGCTAGATGTATCTAAGAAAATATTTCGAGGTGATGGATGCATCTTATTCCTAAAAAGAAAGTTAAAATAAAAATAGACATGTCAGAATAAGAATAATATCTTTATATCATGATTTACCAATATCAAAAAAAAAATTTTTTTACAAAAGCTCAAGCTCTTTTTATTTCATTATTAATTTATAATTTTAATAATATTATTATTATAATATGGGCTAATGTTATTTTTAGCCCCTCCTGTTTGATCTCATTTTTGTTTTATTCTTGATTTCAAGGGCAAAAACACTACTCCATGAACCAAAAATATTTAGACGGATCAAAATAAGGTCAAATTTTAAGAGTCAAACTACTGGTTTTAAATTTTAGAAACTGAAATAAAAAATCAGATTTCAAAATATATTTATCCTAATAACTTTTATGAGAATTTTGTCAATATAAAAAGTATAAAATCACTGTACATTACCTTATAATTAGAGTTCTGTTAAGCAAGCCCTTTCTTTTTCTTTTCTTTTTTTTAAACCAGAGAAAGCCCAGTATAGTATGAACCTTTTAAAAGACTGAAACTGCATAATATATGTACATACATGTACACATACGTATAATATGCACGTAATACTCAATAGATGAATGTTTTCAGTGGAATCGAGGCGTGGAGTGACCACAGGGCAGGCGAGGGTAGGGCAAGGAGCAATATACTAAATATTAGATATAAAAATCTTACTAAATATTTAAGAAAATGAAAAGAAGAGAGAAGAAAATGAATAAATATTTAAATGACAAATATACCCTTATCTCTATTTTAAAATATGTTAAATATCACAATGAAAAAATATATATATATTAATAAGTTATACATTCTTTGGGACTAAAATCTCTGCAAGTGAAAGACCAAAATCCTCTGTTTTCTTTTTTCCCCCGGGGGGGAGTGGGGACAGAATAATAGAATGAATTGCGACGTACGTACTTTTTCGATGGGAAAGCAGGCAGGCAGTTGTGTTATGCAAAAATTGACAATTCAACATTTACAATTTTTTTTTTTTTCCAATAATCTTCAAAAACCATTATATTAATTAAGTGAAAGTGAAACTACAAAGCACACAGGAAATCAAAAGGGCTTTAATCAACCACGATTTGTGGTAAACGGTAATGAAAGTTGTAAAAATTAGTACCGCTATCCCCAGATGATAAAACAGAAAAGACAATCCCAATCTCATGAGACCATTCTTCTAACTCCTTCAATGATATCTCTTACCAGATGATCACAGCTAGTTTCCCCAGTAGCTTATTCTTTAACCCAATCTGCAGAAACTTGGCCTTTTCCTATGCCCTTTTCCCAGCATAAAGTCAGACCTGCGATAATCCCCTTAATTTCAGTTATTACAGGCATCAACTAACCCATCTGTTTTTAACCTTGAGTTTTTTTTCAGTCACCAATCTCCATGAAACATCTTCATTGCAAGTACTAACCCTGTCGAATCATGAGTGGCGCCAAAATATCAATTTAGAGATACAAGCACGATTCAAAGCAACGAATACAAAATCTATTACCTGAGATTTCTCTGAAACACAACCAACCAACTTGGAACAAAATCATGGTGTGCTTACAGTGCTGCTGATAGTGTGACTATGAGAAACTCTATAAGGGGTCACCACACAATTATTTGTCAAGCCTGAAGAAAGATGCACCCATCATAGGCACTAGTGTAAGATAATGAGTAACAGAGTATGAGGCTAGATCAATCCAGTTTCTTTATTCCTTTTTACTGAGCCATCCACACAATATTTTTTAAAGAGCAGTCCTTACATGTATCATTGACAAACAAAATCATAAAAATTAAAATTCATCTCAAGAATCATAGAAATACATTATCAACCCTTCTTGCCCATGTTCTCAATATTATAACATGGTCTTCACTGTTCTAGATGCTATAAGGGTCTTTTCTTCAGGGAAGTAACAAATTTATAACACTCGACTCTAAATTGCAATTATAGGAAACAACAGCAGCACGTAGTGACTTGATTTTATGATTCTTAGAAGTAAGATCAATTATACAGTAATTTATTCATTAAAAGGATTAAAAAAACTTCAAAGCAGCATGTTGTGTTCAAAGGAACAATTAATTGTTGCATTAGTAGCATGTGGACGTAAGCAGGCACCAGGAACAGCATAGCATAGCCATGCAATCAGGCAAAGATAATTGTATGAATTATAAGTGCAACATGATGCATAATTCAGGAACAGAATAGCAAAACACTGAGATGGTAAAATGAGGAATAATTCATTAACTTTTACCCAAAGTAAACAAGCATTTTGCAGCCACTTTTGAAAAATATCACTATTAACAAGTATAAGATAAGAATAGAGCATTTAACCTTGTATTATTGTTTAAGACGACCTGCATCTATCATTTCATGAATAATCAACTCTGCTTTATCATTCTCTTTTTTCATCAAAAGAGCTCCAACAAGTGTTCTAAATGTCACCAGATCAGTGAGGCAGCCATTCTCTTTCATTTTTGAAAGCAATGTCAATGCATCATCGAAAAGGCCTTCTTTGCAAAGTCCATTCATCATAATGCTGTAAGTATAGACATCTACATGATGACCTTCAGTCAGAAGCAATTCAAAGATCTCACGTGCCAAGTGCAACCTACCGCCTTTGCACAAACCATCGATTAGTATACTATATGTATGTACAGTAGGTTTCATTCCTTGACTGACAATTTGCTGATATAATGCAATCGCCTCATCAAGAAGTTTTGTTTTGCAAAATGCATCCAACAAGATATTGCAGGTTATTATATTAGGAGCGTGACCATTACAACGCATCTCATAAACAAGATCTTTCACATGTGACATTCTCTTAGCTTCGCACAAGCCATCAATAAGAGAGTTGTAAGTGACTGTATCAGGCATTAAATTCTTGCAGCGCATTTCCTTAAACAAATCTAGGGCTTCATCCATCCTTTTTAATTTACAGTGTGTATTAATCAATATATTGTAATTCCAAACAGTAGGTGTCAAATCAGCTCTGATCATCTTATTGAACACTGCTATGGACTCATTAACATCATTCCTCATACAGTAACCATTCATCAAAGAAGTAAAGGTAATAACATCAGGTTTTACAAAACATTTCATCATCTTAGCGAGGACAGATTGAGCTTCCATGGTCCTCCCCCTTTTGCAAAATGCATCAACTAGTATATTAAAAGTATAAAGATCAGGACTAATGTCTTTCATGACTATTTCATTTAACAACCTAACGGCTTGTTGCAATTGATTGGTGTTGGAGAAACCATGGATTAAAGTGTTATAGGTAACCATATCTGGAGATATTCCTCGCCTGATCATTTCAGAACACAACTTAGATGCCTCACTTACTAGCCCTTCTTTACAAAGGCCATCAATGACTGCGTTGTATATAACGACATTCGGCAGAGTTTTAATTTTCCGTCCCCCCATCACTCGGAGCAACTCAACAGCACATCTTGTTTGTCCAGTTTTGCAAAGCCCATTAACTAAGGTACCGTAAGTAACTGAGTCTAAGCAAAAACCTTTTGCCAACAGGTGCCAACAGGTCATCGTGAAAGTCAAGGGCTTGCCCTACATCTTTCATGCAGAGTCCTTTCATCAACGTATTTACTGTTACGGTATTCGGCTGACATCCCCACTTGAAAATCTTCCCGAGTAAAGAGAAAGCAGATGCCATGCCACCCACGTGACAGTAGCAATTGATCAAAATGTTCAGTGTAACAAAACATGGTGTGAATCCTTTCAATTCCGCCTGGGCATAAAGTGAGATAGCAGTGGTGCAGTGTTTGGTCTTGGCAAGTGATCCTAAAATCTTATTAATTTCGACAACGGAGGGCGGGGGACTCATGGAGAGCAAGCGATGGAACGCAGCTACGGAGTCCCGGAGGCTATTATTAGGGTTTGTGGAATTAGAATGAAAGCAAAATCGCAGATTGGGGAAGGAAGGGAGAGAAAGAAAGAAGGAAGAGGGAGAAAGTTGCAGAAACCGAGAGGATTTGGGGAAGACATACCTTGACATAGCAGAAGAGAGCGGCATCTTCAGATGAAATTAGAAGAAGAATGCTGATTGCATCAACGCTGCTTCAACAAAGGGGAAATGCGAGAAACATAAGCTGTGGAAGTGATTCAGAGCCAAGAGACGGCGGAGGAGAAGAAGGCGGAAATGGATTGGGGAAGGTCGCTGGTGCTCGCAGTCTCTGATAGAAGAAGAATGTTGATTGCATCAACGCTGCTTCAACAAAGGGGAAATGCGAGAAACATAAGCTGTGGTAGTGATTCAGAGCCAAGAGACGGCGGAGATGGATTGGGGAAGGTAGCTGGTGCTTGCAGTCTCTGATCTCTGGGTCGCGTCGCGTGATCCGAGAGAGACAGGTATTGGAATTGTAATCTCATTTTGAAAATAAACTAATTTTTGGGCCAATTTTCTAAATATGATAACTTCATTCCTGGGAGAACAATACCTGTGCGGCGGTGCCAGGCATTAATGTGAAAAAAAAAGAAAATAATTTAAATAAATTCAATACTTAATTAATGTTTAAAATCTAAATTTAATAAATTTAAAATTGAACTTATGGATGTTTTGAACATTCACAAAATACAAATTACTAATTTTAAGCACTTCTTAGCAGGTATAAACAAAATTCCCGACGGACTGACATATTCAGCCTTTTAAAATAATTTGGCTATGCCACCAACAATGGTTGATATTTAAATAAAATCCGTTTGACAGCTTAAAATATTAAATGTTGAATTATATAATCAGTTTATCACTTTTAATTTAATTAGGCTTATATCTTTGGACTTTATTATGTATGTACTATCTCCAGTTATTAAAAGAACTAGTTTGATATTCAATTTAATCTTAGATATAAAACCCAAATCTAATGGTTGTACATTAAGATAGTGCTTGTAATAGTTAGTACATACACTACTAATCACTAATCATGTTTCTCATATTTATCTTTTTTTTTAAGATAGTGCTTGTAATAGTTATACATTAACAGTTTTATTAAATGGTAGTTTTAACTAATATACATGATTAGTGAGGATATTTTAGAAATTGCAATGCCTATCTATTTCAAATAACAATTTAACGAATTTTTTTAATATACTCAAATTATTCAATTAGCTTTTATATTAAGAACTGAATATAGTATAATTATTTGTTAAAAAAATTCCTAATGACATTTCTATTCATCACTCCCAAATACAATTGGGGGCTCTTCTAGCCATATGCTCAGCATGGAAAAAGAAATTTTTAAAGTACTACGCAATGGAAATTATTTATCGAGATACTGCCTCAAAAATCGTTCATTATGAGAACAAAATGAAATATATAAATAAATTGTTCAACTTAAGATTTTAGTTTCTAATATGACATTTACTTGCCTCCTTGTGGCTTTCTTTCATGCGCCGTGCATTTGTCGTCTAACAGTACCCTGTTCTTCTTTATAAGAAATTCTTATAGAAAATTCATTGTCTATATGTCTTCTTCTCACATTTTTGTTAATATTTCATATTAATTTAAAATTTACCTACGTAGGGCCGTCTTCTTTTGGACCCCAATAATTTGCAAATTGGGACCATGAGTATTACCATAAAAATATTTTTTTAAAAAAATAGGCTCACCATAATTAATTTGCAACCAAAAAAAGAAAAAGAAAAAGAAAGCCCAGGTGAAGGCTTCTTTCTACTTTTCTAATGGGTTTTGATGTTTTTACTTCTTGGTTTTCTGATTTCGCATGAAGTATATTGTTTTGGTCCACATAATTAATTTTTTTTCCCTTCCCTTTTTAAATATTCTACCTTCGATTATGAGGAAAGTTGAACGTGGCCGGTTGGTTGATATTTTTTTAATGATTTGTATTGATCTCATTTGGGTTATCTAGGCCATAGATCCATGTATATATTTACAAACAAATGCACGCCTAAATTAGTAGTATATGTCAAAGAATTTAGTCAAATCATTGTGAAAATTTTCTCTTTTTCTTTTCTTTTTATTTGGTTGCAAATTAATTTTGGGGAAGCGAAAAGAGGATGGCCATCTATAATGACTCGTTTGGTGTGAGAAAAATAGAGGGAAAAGGATGGCAGAAAAAATTTTAATGACTTCGATTCAAAAAACTGAAAATGTGGAGTTTAAAAGCTGTTAATCAATTTTTCTTGCTTTTTTATCTTACATATTTTTTTATCAAAATTTTACAACTTTATTTCTCCAATTTTTTTAAATTAAACTTCCTTTCCTTCCAAATCTCCTATACCAAACATAGGGTACATGTCTTTTTTTTGTATATTTTTTATGGCAAGAGTTTTATTTTTAAAAAATAATGGTATATACTACTAATTTGCAAATTATTAGGGACCAAAAGAGAATGACTATACATAGAGAAACTTTAAATTAGTAGCAAAAATTGACCCCCCCCCAAAAAAAAAGAAGAGGAAGACGCATGAACGGTGTTTCTCACAGGAATTTCCCATAGAGAACAAAAGGTTTTCTTGGAGGCGAGAAGAAGAAAGTATGAAGGAAAGCTAAAAAGAAGTAAGAAATGTCATATCAGCAACTAAAATCGTTCAGTATTTGAACGCTTTTAGTTTTCTATTTAAAAAGAAGTAAATGTTAGATTAGTTAAGAAGCAAGTTGTTCTTAAGTTGAACAATTTGTTTGTAAATTTAAACACATTTTTACAATCACTGATCAGTATTTTGATAAATAGTTCCCATCATGTAATGATTTGATAATAGTTTGCTATGTTTGGATGGAGAGAAAATTAGAGAGAGAGAAAAAAACTAGAAAGGAAAATAGAGAGAAGTGGGTTTCTTCCTATTTGGATGAGGGATGAAA